TTCTGCATCCCCTCCCTTCTGGTAGGATCACACTATCCCTGGGGACAAAAAAAAGAGTACTCACCTTTAAAAGAAGCTATTTTTGAAAGGTTTGGGTAGTGAATTACACTGGAAGGGTGGAGGGTTTGCTATCCCTGCTAAAGCTCGGGAAATTTAGAGATGCCTATAAGGTCTGGCCAGTTGCTAATTCCATTGATGAATGTTCCAACATACTCCGACTATTGATTGACAATTAACTTTTTCACAGTTATCTTAGTGTATTTCATGCAACTTTGCAAAAGACAGAGAAACAGAGAGAGAGAGAGAATGCAACAAAACAATTGGAGAGGGTGGGATGCACTTTTCTAAAGGGGATTCTGGGATGTGCTCCCAGTAACAACCACATTTTTTTCAAACTGTAAATAATGTTCCAGAATGCATGGAGAAATGAAGAAAGCTTTTCCAGGAATCATTAAGTTGCGACACACATGTCCATGGACAAGCAGTATATATTTCCCCTCTTCTTTTCTTTCCCTATACAGAGAAGGAAACAATTAATTGAAATGAGGTAATGAATCTGAGGCTCCCAAATGGGAAATATCAGAAAGCTATCCCAATTTTATGGAGATGTAAGTTCTCAGATCTTGATTTCCTGGCAATACTTCCATGATGGCTTCTTTCCCTGATTTGAAGAAAGGCACTGGCCTGTAAACCAGTGAATTAATAAGAGGCAATGGAATGTGGTGACTGTTTCCTGCTCAGCTTATAATGAGCTGTGTTCTACGCATCAAACACAATTCCTCTTTCAGTGAGTTGATGCCTAGTTCTATGCAAACTCTTTTACTTTGACAAAGTATTACATTTAATTGAATACTTTAAAGCTGGGAGGGAGAGAGGAAGGGAGGGAGGCAGGGAGGGAGGTAACTAGATTTATTTTTGCAGCATTTATTTTATATTTTTCAGTCAGCTCAAAAATATATGCATTTCCCATTCTCAAGAGAATTTTCCATTACTGGCCAGCCGAGACAGCTGCAAATATACTTAGTAATTTTAAGTAATAAACATCATAATTTGGTTTTTGATTTTCTCTACAACAATCAAAATAGTCAAAATATGTGCTCAGAACTAATTTCCCCCCAAACAATTTAAAAACAATAACTTGAGAAGTAATGGGTTTTTTTCACTTCATTTTATTTAATCAAACTCTACTATAAAACTAAAAGTCCATGTCTTTATGTCTGCACACACAAAAGATGGGTGAATCATTTGACTAAGTTAAAAGGATAGGAGTAGGACAGACAAGACTTCAATCCACATGGGATTATCTGATAAACAACTAATTGGGGGCAAAGGAGACTGCAGAAGTCAGTAGATAAGGTTTAATCCTTTATTGCATCTGTATTTTGTCTGCTAAACTTTTAAGTATGTAATCTTTGATAAATCAAAGTATATTTCCATCTTAAAGCATCTCAGTTAGCTAAAGGAATAAATATGGACATAAATAGGGACACGCTTATTTGGTCTGTATGCTGCCTTTCCATTTGAAATGAACACCAAAGGTGAGTTGCAGTTTAAAACAATTAAAATAAGTATCTTTAAATAAAAATGATCGCCTTTTAAAGGCTTAACTTAAGAGGTATGTCTTCTTTAAAGGCAGAGTGAACGGGGAGCATCAAAGAGAATGCATTATTAGAAAGACGCAGGAGAAGGTGCCTTGGGTGAGGTTTTTTGAGAGTGAACATATTTAAAGGCTTCCCTCTTGCTGAAGATCTCTATTCCTGAGGTCCCTAACAGGAGGGGTGATTCTTCAGACAATGAGATCCAAGCTTTATAAGGCTTCAGAGGTCAGACCAACACTTTATGATGCCCAAACAGCATTTGGCAAGCTGTTAATTGCTTAGAACTGGTTAGCAGCTTAGATCCTAGACTTTGCAGCAGGTGAAACTTCCAAACACTTCCAGGGGGAAACCCTTGAAAGCACCCTACGATAACCAAGACAAGAAACAACTGAACATGAACAACTATTGCCAAATCCAACTGACTTGATATATTAGGATTAGTTGTGGAAATAACCTCCTTGCCACAACCACCACTGTTGCAAAAAATTTGATGACCATAAGATAGTGGCATGCTGTGACATCTAATACTGTCTTTATTTCTCAGGTCTGGAGATTAGGTAAGTCCATAAAATATTTGTCTTTTTGATGATTTAAGTTGGGTTTGTTTTTGGACACCATTATTACTTTCATTTTTGTTGAGTGTGTTTGATTTTATCTCTATGTGTGCTGCATAGACTCACAATTGTCAGATAGGCAGCTATGTAAATTGTTTTGATTTAATTAACTAATGTTTATTTCCAAATATTTATAGAGGACTTTATTGAATATAAAATAACTTAGTGAATGATTCACTGTATGGTATTTATACTGTGTATTCATTTCACTGGATGATGCTGAAAGTGGTCAATAAATTAATGTGATTCCAGCACAAAGATTAAACACATACAACTTACAATAATCATTTCCTTCCTCATTACAAACAATATAGTTTGTAATGTATACCTCCGAGACCGCCTTCTGCCACAGATTACCTCCCACCGGCCGATACGCTCCCACAGAGAGGGCCTCCTCAGGGTGCCGCCAACCAGACAGTGTCGGTTGGCGACCCCCAGGGTGAGAGCCTTCTCTGTCGGAGCGCCCACCCTCTGGAACGAGCTGCCCCCAGAGATCCGGGTGATTCCGGATCTCCCCTCCTTCCGCCGCGCCCTCAAGACCTGGCTGTTTCAGCAGGCAGGACTGGCCTAGGGGATATTTTAATTGGTTTTAACAAAATTTTAATAGAGCGGCCAATTCAAATATTTATTTTTAATTATTTTAGATTTGTATTGGGTATTTATGTGGTATTGTTTTAAACTGGCTGTGAGCCGCCCTGAGTCCTCCGGGAGAAGGGCGGGGTATAAATGAAATAAATAAATAAATAAATAGTGGATATTTAAAACTGTGTGCTTAATGCATTTTTAAGGATTTGATTATTTTGGGAGGACAGTTTACTGTCATACTATAACAAATAAATGCACAGGATCTCAAGATTACATAGTCAAAGTTGTTCTTTCATTGAGTCATAGATCTTTGCAGATTATGGTAGAAAAAGTCTGTCTGGCTGGAGAATTCTGAGAGTTGAAATCCAGAGATTTAAAGTTATTAAGATTTATCACAATACACACAATACATACAATAAGGTTATATCCAGCCTTAATACTTAAAATATTTTCTTTGAATTTAGGGAGTTCTGATTCCCAATTTTTTAACCATAATAACCACATGATTCCCAACCTCTGCTCTAAATTACACTGTTGAAATGAACAAAGACTGGAATAAAATTTATTACACTTTCTTGCAGAAGATTCATCAGCACTGGTCACTTTCTGATAGGCAGAACAAATGCCTGGGCTGAGAATTCTTTAATTTTAAGTGCGTGTCTTATTAGATACCAGAGTAGATTTCTCATGACTGGTAAGCTACCCAATATATGCTGTCTAAGATGATGGGTGCCCTTTTGTCTTCTTCCATGCAAGTTTCCTACACCATTCCAAAATCACCTATTGTTTCGCCATCAGCCAGTACATTTCTGGTTATGTTGAGGTACACACACACACACACACACACACTTTCTACAGTATTGGTAGAATGAATGTTTTGCAGCTTATGGACACTTGAGTGGAACTTGCCTCATCATGGTTCTAAATAACTAAATTTTCACCTTATGGTTCTAGAGATTCAGCTGCCATGGAGCCTTGACCTCTTACATTTCTCCCCTTTATAAGTAACAGCTACATGTGCAAGGAGGAAAATTACCTGGAAACGCAACCTGCATGAACTGAGGACTGAAGGGAGAACAGAAAGTGAACGCCATTCTTTACACCAGTGGTTCTCAACCTTTTTAATGCCGCGACCCCCAAGCGGTCGTAAGTCGAGGACTAAACCGGTCGTAAGTCGAGGACTACCCAACCGGTTGTAAGTCGAGGACTTTCCCTGCCCGGGAGCGCCGTGCATGCGTGGTTCCGCCCCCTGCGCCGGCCGAGGCGTAGCTGGCAAGCGGCAGAAACAGAGCAGGCCGACCACCAGCTGGCCCAGCTCAAGGGAGGTAAGGCACCTGCCGGAAAAGGGGAAAAAAATGGCGGACAGCCTTGCTTGGCGACCCCCGTGAAATGGTTGATCGACCCCAAATGGGGTCGCGACCCATAGGCTGAGAACCGCTGCTTTACACAATTCTACCTGTCAGCTGGAAGGAAGAAAGGGTTTGTTTGTCCTGTTTCTCATTTGTTTTTAGATTGGTGACCAAGGTGACAGTACCTTGGCTTCGAACCACTGATCAGGCTTTATTATGCACCCATTTCAGATGAAAGCGATTCTGGGCAGTGTGCACAGCGCTTAATTAAAAAAACAATAGTCAAATACTTTTCAAATACAACACTGTACGGTTGTCAAAGTGCCTCAAGTCTAAGCAGAGCACTTTTTCTACAATGGGATGCTTTTCCAGATGTGTTTTTTTTTTCTAAAAAGAAGGATGAAGCAAATCCCCAGGGGATGAATGATCATCCTAACCTGATCCGTTACACGGCTCATAATAGGGACGGTTACTTTATATATTGCAACCATTCACGCTCACGCGAGGCGAGTAAGAAACAGAAGGGCTCGTCTTACAGAACGTGACCATTGGAGCTCGTGGAAGAAGGCGGGAAAAGAGGACTGGGAAAGGGGAGGAAGCTAAGCGATCCCACGCTTCAAGCCTCTCTTTTATGGCTTGGGGTGAGGTGGGGGGGGGTGGGGGGAGGGAAGCCGAGGCAAGTCCTCGCCTTGCTATAGGGTAGCTTTCCCTCAACCCTCTATTGATTGGTCGGCTCCCCATTCTAGCGAGCGTGTCCCCCTCCTCTCTTTCCTTCGCAGCCCCGGCGGGGTTTAAAACTTGCAGCGCGTCCCGCCGCCTGTCGCCCTTGAGGGGACTCGAGAAAGCGCGGGATCATGACGGGGCTGAGTTTGTGGGCGCTGCTGGCGCTGCTGGCGCCGGGGGGCTGCTCCCCTCGCGAGGGCTTCCTCTTCCCTTTCGGCTCGGCTCGGGGCGACGAGGCGTTGGAAGCGGGGGACGATGTCAGCTCCGCGCCCCTCTTGCTCGACACGCCGCTGCACTTCTACGGCTCTAGCGTCCACTCCCTCTATGTAAGTGCCCGGGAGGTGAAAGGAAGGGATCGGGCTGGAGAGAGAGAGAGAGCTGGAAGAGGAAGGGAAGGAGGGGCCACGGCGAATGGATCCGGGCATGGACGAGATCCTGATCGGTTGTGGGGGGGGGGGNGGGGGGGGGGAAGCCGAGGCAAGTCCTCGCCTTGCTATAGGGTAGCTTTCCCTCAACCCTCTATTGATTGGTCGGCTCCCCATTCTAGCGAGCGTGTCCCCCTCCTCTCTTTCCTTCGCAGCCCCGGCGGGGTTTAAAACTTGCAGCGCGTCCCGCCGCCTCTCGCCCTTGAGGGGACTCGAGAAAGCGCGGGATCATGACGGGGCTGAGTTTGTGGGCGCTGCTGGCGCTGCTGGCGCCGGGGGGCTGCTCCCCTCGCGAGGGCTTCCTCTTCCCTTTCGGCTCGGCTCGGGGCGACGAGGCGTTGGAAGCGGGGGACGATGTCAGCTCCGCGCCCCTCTTGCTCGACACGCCGCTGCGCTTCTACGGCTCTAGCGTCCACTCCCTCTATGTAAGTGCCCGGGAGGTGAAAGGAAGGGATCGGGCTGGAGAGAGAGAGAGAGCTGGAAGAGGAAGGGAAGGAGGGGCCACGGCGAATGGATCCGGGCAAGGACGAGATCCTGATCGGTTGTGGGGGGGGGAGATCCTGGAATGTGATTTCCAAACAAGGAGCGCGTCAGGATAGAGAAAGGAGCGGGGGGGGGAGAGAAAGAGTGAACCGGAGTTGCTGTCACTACGTGTGGAAGTGTCTGCTGCTGCTGCTCGGGCCGCCAGCCAAGGAGGAGGAAGCTTGCTTTGATAAGCGGCTGCTTCATCCCTAAAAGGGAGAATTGCTGGCTTGGATGAAAGCATCGGGCTGGAAACTAGGAAGCTGAAATTCTTGTCCCGCTTTGGGCCGAAGCCAACTGGGTGATCCCTGGGCAGTCACTTTGCTAGTCAGCCCTAGCCAGCAGACCGTGCCAAACCCATTGCTGAAAAACTTTCCCAAGAAAACTGCAGGGACGAGTCCCAGGAGGGTTTCCAGGAGTCAAAAAAAACTGCCTGGAAACTGAAAAGTCTGAGAAATTGAAATCTTCCATGTTATCTTCCAGAAAGCTAGATAGATGTCTATCTCAACTCAAGAGAGACTTTTCCTTTGCTTGTTCCTTGAGTGAGATTCTCTTGATCCTGTTGTTGCAGAGGCATGACTGCAGTTGGATTGTGCCTTAGGCAAGGCACTCTGTCTATATTCAGGGCAATGTTATTCTTCCATCTGAATTGATTGTAATTCTGCATGATTACAAACTGATTCCCCGGGACAAAATCTGGAGTATGGATTTGTAAATAAGCATTCCTAATAAAGAACCAACTTCTACAGTCTTTGTAGTTATCCTCCATCGGGCTATTCTAAACTGAATGGGGTCCCCTGAATTTCTGTGAACCTGGGGTGATCTGATATAAGTAGAGTCTTTTCTATAAAATGTCAATGCCCGAGAAGTTGTATGGGATATCGGAAGACGAAATTATGCAGAAGGAAAGCAAGGAGATGTTTTGGGTGCGGTGGGAAGGATTTGTTCAGAGTTGTTTTGGCAATTAGGATAGACTCTTACTAATTCCAAACAAAATAGAAAGCAGATGGTCTTTGTTTTTTTCCAAGATTTACAATCCTAACTAGAAAAGGCATTGTTACTATCATTTCAGCTGTTGAATCCACTGGACTTGCAGGTCATGCAAATAAAATAATGATCATTGCACGTCAGGACAAAAACGCAGACCCTGTTCTGTTCTAAATATTTACATTCCTTTCTTAGTACTGTTCAAGCCACGGATCTAATCCATGATTACTCTTTCATGTTGATTACTGGTTTGATTTGATCTGATCTTGGTTTTTCTCAGCATGGTAGGGATTGGAACAATGATAAGGTTAGGTCATCTTGCTTTTCTTATTGTACTTAAAACTATGCATTGAAAGTTTTCAGAATATGTGGGTTGTGTTATATTTGGGCACATTTCTGATCTGTTCAAACAGCCAAATCCCATAAAATGCTTTCAAATGTGTGGTAACACCTATTGACTATGACTGTTCTTAAAAAACTTAAGCAGAGATGCACCTGGTTAATATTTGGATGGGAAGCCATTAGGAAATCCTAGGTTTGTAGGCTGGAGTTGGAAAAAAAATCCCCAGAAGTAGTTAAGCTCTTTCCATATTGCTGCCATATGGATGTATTGCTGAAGTCACCAGAAATTCAGCTTGATGATAAGGAAACTTTACAGTAGCAAGCAATGAAAGGCATTTATTTAGAGGTTGTGTATGTCATTTTCATAAAGCTGTGTCATTCATTCGTTCATTCATTTTTGGGCTAAATCTTCAGGAAATCTAAGGTTTACATCAGAGGTGTCAAACACTGGCAACCTTAAGACTTGTGGACCTCAACTCCAGAATTTCCCAGCCATCCATGCTAGTTGGGGAATTCTGGGAGTTGAAGTCCACAAGTCTTAAAGTTGCCAAGGTTAGACACCCTTGGTTACACTATTCTTCAAAGTAGTTTGGTAGACCCAACATGCCTGTATGTAAGTTAAATGTATCAGCCCCTCCTCTACTGGGAAGACTGTAAATCTTCCCAGGAGAGGAGGGGCTGATACATTACATACTGTATACCGGTCAAGACAGGGAAACGTTTTTGTTTTTTATGATAGTGGTTGCATTGCAGTTGAAGAATTATCTGCCAAAATTTGCTCACCAGGCATTTTCAGTACTTTTACATGCCATCAGATGAAGAATTCTTTTTTTTGCCTTACATTTCAATTGTTGAGGCTTTATGTTATTCCACGTTTTCATGTTGATTTATATTCTTAAATTATTCTTGGTTCTTTGAGTCCCTGTAATTTTGTGAGATATGCTGACCATTTATAAATCTGTTTTTTTAAATCTAGAAAAAAATAGAAATAGCGTATAAAATTATTGCAGGTCACAGCATTGCTGTAAAGCTCTCAACAGTTACCGGTACTACACATTATGTAGATACTGCATTGATATACAGGGAAGCTCCTAGAAGTTACAGTGAGTGATTCCTGGGGTAGAAGCTGCCTATGTACGCATGCAACAGCTGTTTGGCTTTAAGACCATAGAGCAGTTTGCCAGAATCCATTAATTCCAAAAGACAGGAGGAAGTAATAACAACTTTAAGGGTATACAAATTATTTATCTCTTTTTTCTGGTGGTAATTTATCAGCTATTGTGTACAGCTTCATTCTTGTTTCAACAAAGATTCTAATCTAGCTAAGCTATATCTTAGAGTCTTCTGCTGAGTGTGTACAAGCTAAATATTGAAAATATTAGGGGTGTGATTTACTGTTGATACTAGTTGGGGAGTCTCACAAAATGTTCTCCTGGTGTTTAGTGGGAAACACAAGCAGGATAATGTTGTTGAACTTGGAAGACCTACTTGGGAGTTTCTATAGCATGTGATTGATAATTTTAGGCCACACAATGCTGGGCTAGAGGGACTTTTCATTTCATTGGATATACTTCTGATGTTTGTGAATAATGATTTTCAATCTACATGTAAGCAGACAGCAACAACTAAAATCTCAGCTTTGGGTTTCTCGCCTGTGTTCTACTTAGTTAGCATGGGATACAATCAGACCAAAGTATCTATTAAACAGAGTATAGCAGACACAGTGCACCAAATGGACCTAGCTAGGACCCCAAATTCTATTTATTGTGAATCCAACAAGTACTTTGTCTCCCTTTTGGCATACCTTATTAAACTCAAAATACCTAAACACTGAAGGGCCTTTACTCTGGCACAGTGTCATGCCCTCCCCTCAAGATGTGGTCAAAGACCAATACAGAAAGATTCCTTACCCAGAGAGACAATGCCCCTGAGACTCTGGACACACAGAAACAACAGAGCATGTGCTCCTCCAGTGCATGTATTGCAGAGAAATTCATACTAGCTTCATCTCACCATTACTGCATAAATACCTAGGCTGTACGGGACAATTTTATGCCATCCTGCTGCTTTCAGCTCCTGCCCACCTAACAGTGTGAAAGCATGCAAATGCAAGTAGATTAATAGGTACCACTTCTGTGGGAAAGTAACAACGTTCTGTGTGTCTTTAGTATATAGCCTTGCTGGCCACATGACCATGGAATTGTCTTCTGAGAACACTGGCTTCCTTGGCCAAGAAACAGAGATAAGCACCGTGCCTTAGAGTTGGACACAACTGACAGATACTACTCCTGCTACAACGTACAAGGGTCTGTGCAGTATTGCTCAAAATTCATTAGATGATGACCTGTGCTATAAACTAAATTTAATGAGCACCTAGTTTTCCATATTAAGAATATTCTGTAACCTGCAGGCCACATTTTAAGAATTGCTGTGCTACAACTGAGTCCGCAAGGAGTCCGCAAGGAGTCCGCAAGGAGAAGGGCGGGATATAAATATAATAAACTATAACTATAACTATAACTGCAAGATGCATATCCATGTATAGAGGAACAGTGCTGAACTGATTAACTAATTAATCAGTCCTAGTAGCCAATCTCTCTATATCTCTCAAAGTCCAACTCCGGCCAACTCTGCAGGATGATCCTTCAAAAATATAATGTAGGAGATAATGTAAGAAGGACTTTCTCCTTTGCAGGTTATTGATGGCCTGTGGAAGTCTACCATTTGATCCTCCTCATGTTCCCTAGCCAGAGCCACCACCAATGCTCACTTAGCAGTCAGCTAGCCAGAGTCTGCTCACTACCTCACTTTTGCAATGGTTTCGTTCCGATCTTCAGAGAATGTTGACTGCTAAGTTGCCTCTTTTATATTAGCTATATGAGATTTAGATCATCAGGTGCCATCAATACTGAATTCCCTCCCTATCCGAGAGATCCAGGAGTCAATGTCAAATACTGGACAATTGTGTGTTGTGAACTGGCACTGAACCAGTAATGTGAAGCTGACTCCTGCAAAGAGGGGTCCTGTGAATTTGTGCTTCCCAGGTATTGGTATTGGGTAAATATTCTGTTCTGAATGGTATTCTTATTTAGGACAAGTACAAGGAAATTTTAGTTGATTATCTTGTTTCTGGAGGTTCCTACACATGAATAATCTGCTACACTAATTTTTCCTAATTAAGAGCCTCCATTTTAATACCTTAGTAGTAATGATAACAAAATTAACAATTTATCTTCTAGATTATTGGAATATGCGTTATGTGAAACAGCCCTTGAGGATTACACTAAAAGAAGCTAGTGCAAAATATAGCAGCTGGATACTCTCAGGATTAACTCATAAAACATAGATTCTAAAGGAGTTGGTTGCACTGCAGCAAGTTCAGAATTTTACAGATGGCATGTAAAGCACTGAATGAATTATGTTCTGGATTCTTGAGAGAATGGAGTTCTCTGTCTGCACATGCCTGTCCTGCTTCCTCCTACATTAAGATGTATTGAAGAGGCTCATTTATTTGGGCCACTATTGGGAATCATAAATTACACAGGGACACAGGAAGATAACAGATATGGAATATATTTGTTCTGAGTAAATCTTCGCCTTTATTCCTATTGGTCACTGATATAAAGTAGAATTTTCTAGAAGCCTTCCTCAGAAATCACTCCAGTGGAAACTTCTTGGGATCACTTATATTTTCTACAAAAGTAATAGTGTGTATTAGAATTGGTCTTTGGGTCAATAGATTTTAGAAAATCTATTCAGAATAATTGTTTTTCATTGTCACTGGAATTAAGTGGGACAATGGATATCATTACAAACAAACATGCATTCCAGAACAAGTTGTCAGTATATGGCAATATTTTATTTAATTGTTAATACATTAAATAACTATCCATCTGTAAAGCCCCTGCTCTGGAAATGCTCCTGTTCATGGAAAATGCAGATGAAGGGGGGAGTTCATTTCTCTGTTAAAGGGATAGCATTGTATTCAACTAAACAGGTTTTGAAAGCATTATATATTTCAAAATGTTACCTGCATTTTCAGCTACATTAACATTTTATAAGAATCTGTTCATTGTGAAAACAAACAGGAAACTGCTGTGCACTGAATGAGATAGCTGACCCATATAATCACTGTTATTTGTTCTGGTAAGCAGTAACTCTTCATAATTTGAGATAAAAACCTCTCCCCATCCTGTCTGCCCTGATTCTTGCAAGCTTTTTAATTGCCAAGTTTTAATTACAAGTTCTGCTGCATACAAAGTTATGGCCCTTCTGCCATAACCAAAGCTGCCATAGCTTCTTGATATTACAGTAATGAGATGTGGCTCATGTATATAGTAATGTCCCTCTACTGTGTGAGATGATTGACATTCATATGAAGAATATCATTGTTTGAAACACTGGACTTTCCCCCCTCAAATCTCTCTTTATCCTCTTGCTGCTTTTTACAAATTCTTCTAGCTAACTGAGGCAGAACTATGCATAATGTCTGCAAGAGATGTGTTTACTTATAAATGTAACTTACAGTAGTGCTTAAAAGTTTATGAACCCTTTTGAATGTTCAATATTTCTGCATAAATATGACCTAAAATGTGACCTGTTTTCTACACAAGCCCTAAAACTAGAGCATCCAATAAACAAATCAAAAACATCTTATTTGTCCATTTATTTATTGAGGAAAATGATCCAGGAAACAACTTGAAGACTAGCAGGGTTGGCACCATAAAGACATTAGAGGTAATGTTGTTCCATAAAGCAGAGACATCAACAAATGAGACATGCTTCACATCTATATACATGACATAGAATGGAATGAGAGAAATGTGAACATCTGTAGTTTGACTGGTTGTGCATTAAGATGAATTTAAATCTATTACGATCAAATCCAATTTATTACTCATCACATTGTTCTTTCAGGCCAGAAAAAAATGCAGCTGCTTTACTGCTTCAAAAGAAGCTGCTCACTTATTAAAAAATACCCCTTTCAAAATTTTTGAAGAGCCTTCAAAATATGTTGGTTTGTTTGTTTATTTTTACTTATTAAATTTATTGGCCATCCATCTTATTACATTGCAACTCTGACTTGCTTACAATGTTAAAAAAATAAAACTACAAAACCTATACACAAAACAAATACTATAAAAATACAAATACTCAATGTCTGTAAGTACACGAGTAATAACTGCTAAAATCATGATTGTATCTTTTTGATTGTAAAATTAAGTTTCAATATCTTAGTTCTTTTTGTGCTGCAGAATTTGGATTTGTGGCCTGGGTACAGAATTTTTATTTATTTATTTATTTTGTTTCTGGCACCACAGGACTCTGGGTGGACCACTATATAAAGCAGAAATTAGGTAACAGCAGCATATATTTAAAAAATACAATAAGAGAAATGACACATAAAATTGTGACTTTCTAAACATTATAGTTGGCCCTTTCCTTGTTCGATATGATCTCTTTCCACACCAGTGAATATTCTTTTGAAGAATCAGATTGAAGCATTTGACCAGCGACAGCACTTAGATTTTGACAGTAGAAAGCTTTGATAGTTATTTTCTTATCAGAAGCAAATTCTGCAATAGCAAATCTCATTTCAAAGCACAATTATTCTTTTGTGGCTAATCAGTATCTGATGATGAATAGGCAGAAGTTAATGTTTCAGTCTTTAGCTTTGATAAAACATAGTATTATATTAATGTTCTTGTTCTTCAGTCATATCTGATGAAAAGATGGATGAATATTAATTATTTTAGCTAGTTTACACAATTATAGCAAATTCTTTCTTAAATGTTTATTTGGTGGCATAAAATTATCTGTTTTACAACTTGTCAAATTTCTGAGTTTTTATTATTTGATCAACTTGAGTAAATTTTGTGATTTCGGATTAAATGGTTACACAAGTTGAGGAAGCTATATACTTAAGGGAAAATATGATCTTGTGAGCTGTTATGAATAATCGGCAAGCTAATTTTGGAATTGTGGGATCTATTTATTCCTATCTTCAGTTTGAAGTTAAGAAATCATTGCAAAATTCCCTTATGATGTCACTTCTACAATAATATGACCCCATCATAAATCAGCTAGACATGTGTAACAACAAGTGTTTCTGTTACTTACTAAATATTTCTACTCATTGATATCAGTGTTTTTAGAATGCTTTTTATAAATATCCTTGAATCAAAAATGCTGGTTTTTGAAAGATGTACCATTTGGTTATCTTACCAGACAACCTAACTGGTTTTTATCTGTTTGCATCCTGTATATATTTATCCAGAAGCATTACAGCTGCATCTGTTTGAGAAGGTTCTTCTCAGCCCTTCTGGGAAAGTATGACTATAGCAATTATCTTATCTTGGCAAGGAAATGCCGGAATTGTAAAGTAAATAGCAAATATGGAATCTGTTCTGTTTTCTTTTGACATCCTTGTAAGGTTTGTGCCTCATAGCCAAGTAGCAGAATATTGAAAAAACAAGCCTGTTAAATTAACATCTCTAGTGCGATATACACACAAAGCTAAGGAAAATAGTGGGATGGATTGTGCTGGGGGAGGTAGACATAGTGTGACCCAGAGGTCCCCAACCTTTTGGGCACCAAGGACCAGTTCCGTGGAGAAAGGTTTTTCCATGGACTGGAGAGTATGTGGTTTTCTGTGTTGCCTGCGTACCATGGAGTGGGCTTTGCTTGTTTGTGTGGACCAGTTGCTGATATGCTGTGGCCCGGTACTGGTCCACGGATTGGGGGTTGGGGACCCCTGGTGTGACCTATTTATGCTAAGTAAAAAACAGCACAACAAAGGCCAGGGTTCCACTCTAACCAACAGGAAAGCACACAAAATAAAAAATGTAAAAACAGGGATTTCTGGGAAGAGAAGGGAACAATCACATCACATCAAAGCAAATGAAGGCGAGGATTGCTTTAGCAGGATGTGTCAAAAGGTTCTCAATGGTTGGTGAGATAAAATGCCAGTTGTGTCATGCAGTTGCTTAAAAAAAAAGTAGAAATATTTTTAGGATTTGTTAACAGAAACATAGTGTCCATATCATGAATGCTTAAAATAATCAAGATGAATCAGAAATACTTAACTCATAGACTCCACCCTTCCTTTCATACCTTCATAGCTGAACCTGAGAAGTCTAAAGAGAAACCATAAAAGTGTCTTTTAACTAAGACACTTTAAACTAAATAAATCAACTTATAATCTAGTACACGATCCAAAGTCCTCTGAAATTAAAGTTTCCCTCAAACATATTTCATATCTCCTAAAAGCTCAGAATTTTGTAATATCTGAAAAGCGCTGGAGTTCCACTCTGATCAGATCAATGCTGAACTTTGTAGAATATAATTATTACATTCTACTCTTAACTGCAATTGTATTAAAGGATTTTATTTAATTTGACTTAGAGTAGATCCATACTGGTTTCTATTATTTGAGTCTAGCTATATATTTCCTGACTGCTTTATACATTTAATACTATAAGTGAAGTTGCTACCTAAGATACTGTAGTATCATACAAAAAATAAAAATAAAAGTGTTGTTGAGTGTTGTATCAACTAAATTAAAAAATCCATATTATGATAACCTTGTATCTTTATGCCAACCTGGAGAATACATTAAGATGTACAACTGCTTTTGACTCCTTCATCAAGCTAGATGATAAAAAGAACGTTGTCTGAATTACAGCAAAATGTGTCTGTTATGGCCCTAAGTTTTAATAAGGATTGCAGACATTCAAGTTAGGCTGTGCCAATGCTGTGATGGTTTCAGGCTGTATCTTGGACTGCCTTGAGAGCTCCAGCACCAATGGATGATCCCTTCATTTTGGAAAATACACAATCTGCCTTCAGATCTAGTAAATACACAATTTTCTTAGAAGTTTATATATTTATAAATGTATATAAAATACATTTTTATGTTTTCAAAATGGGAGGTAAGCATTGCTTGATTGCATTGTATTTGAGCATATTTTTTCTTTTAATTAGGTTCTTACTAATGGCATCATAGCAGTGAGTAAGCCATCAAGAGAAGATGACTATCTTGGTCAATTTCCTCTTAGTTTTGGAGGTCTTGCTCCCTTTTACGCTGACTTGGATACTACAGGTGGACATGGAAATGTGTATTACAGGGAAGATTCTTCCCCTGAGATCCTCCAACTTGCTGCCAAGTACATCAAAAGGGGCTTTCCAAATGCTACCTTTGATCCAGAGAGTGTTGTCATTGTTACCTGGGATTCTGTGGCTCCTTATGTAGGATCTAGACAAGATGCTACTTTACAGGTGAAGGTAAGCGAGTGACAGCCTACCACTGAAAAAAAATGCATTCAATGACTGTATTTTTAATGCTGAAACTCTAGATTATTCTGTTCATGTTTACTGAGAATTAATTCCCATTGAAACCACCTGGTTTTATCTCCTAGCAAATGGATTTAGGAGTGCAGCCTTAAAGTGGAATTTTATACATATTTCTCCAGAAAACAAGGCTCTCTTCATCTAAATGTGTTTTAATTAATTTAATTTTAATTACAATTTTATTCTGGCATTTGAATAATGTTTATTATTCAATAAATAATTGTTTATTAACAACCTGCCTCCAGAAGCGGTGAATGCGCCAACACTGGAAGTTTTTAAGAAAAAACTGGACAGCCATTTGTCCGAAATGGTATAGGGTTTCCTACCTGAGCAGGGGGTTGGACTAGATGACCTCCAAGGTCCCTTCCAACTTTATCATCATCATTATTATTATCATTATTTCTTTATTGCTCTGAGATATTTTGGAAGCAGAATAAAACAGTTTAATAAATAATGACTTATGAAAGGGAGTTTGTTGATCTGAAAAGTGGACCCTGCATCTGCAGGCAAATGCTAGGATAAAGGAGAAATTTAATAAATAATTAGTGGGACTCATTAACCACATCTAGGGATACATTCTAAGAATAACTAAAGAGACATGCTAAAAAAAAAATACAATTGTAAAAAATGACTCCTAGGCTAAATTTAGTCACATTTAGGGTCTTAGGACATATTCATTTCTGAATTATATGACTTTGTGATATTAGAGAAATACTTGCTTTGGCACGAACAATTTAATGTTTCTTCTGAAAATTCTAAATTTTCTAGCTTTCTTTCTTTAAAATCTTGATTCTGTATTCCAGCTTTTCTTAACTTGGAGCTTTCAGAAACTCCCAGAATTTCGAGCCTGCATTGGAATATGGAATTCCATGCTCACTAGGAATTCTGGGACTTGAAATTCAGTGGAACTGGAGCATAATAAGTTGGATAAGCTTATTGTATTCCGCAATAAATAATTAAGCAAGCTGACTTGTTTTATGGAATGTATATCATTCAGGTGTTTAATTATTATTATTTTTTAATTTTTTGCAAATGCAATTTAAATCTTCCCCACAGAGAAACACATTCCAGGCTGTTTTAGCGTCTTCTGATTCTAGTTCCTATGCGGTTTTCCTTTATCCAGAAGATGGCCTGCAGTTCTATAGTACACATTCCAAAAATGATAACACAGTTGTTCCAGCAACTGTTGGCTTCAGTCAACCTTCTACATATTATTTCCTATGGGTAAAAGCTGGATCGTACAATATAATTGCTAATGATGAAGAGATCCTTAGGAATCTGTGCAAGTATGTTGTTTTTATTATTTTTTCCAAAACAATTTTGTATTTTCTAGTAATTCTATAAATCTTGTTAGTGTTCTTCTATAAATAATATGTTACTCTTTTAAGTTGTAACACATGAAGGACTCAGAAATTGTAGATGGAGAGATAGCTGTGAATTTATAATGTGCCTAATCTTTTTCCTATTGTAAGAGACAGTTTTTTAAAGAATAGGCTAATGGACAACTAAGACAAGAAGAGGATAGAGGAGGAAGGGGTATGTGTGTGTGTGATTATATTAGATGTTCTTACATACATTACTTAGAAGTTACAGAACTTGTTCACAGTTAATACAATGCGAGTAGCTTTTCATATTGGAAACTGCAATATGACTCAGACCTCACCTGAAGCAATGCGCTGCTATAATAAGTGCCAGTATGGACCTTATGCAAGTTTATTGGGATAAAAGTTACAAGAGAACAAAATATATTTAGTTAGAAACTTTATACACAACTTGGATTATTTTTTTTTAATAAAAAAGCAATGCAAATTGATAGTTTTTCTTCATTCAAAGAGAGAAAGGCTTATAACATTTCCCAGTTGAAATGCTCCTTATCATTCTGGGAACTTCCGTTGCTCTTCCTCAGACAACACCAGTTCCAGGAAATAGAACAACAGTTGTAAGTTTCCAGCTTTTATTCTGCAGCTTGGAAGGCATGATTCTGAAATGAAAATATATATTAAATGGAAATGGATTTCCTATTCTCCACAATTCAGGTCTGTGGTGTGCTCTGTATATGTGTGTATGCTGTATGGATATATTTACTTTTTCTAAGGTCATAAGTACCCCTTAAATATTATTTAGTCTTGTCCAGCAACTCTTACCCTCAGATCTCCCCATTTAGGGTTGAACCAAACAGTTCATGAGGATTACCTTACCCCAGCTATTCTTATAATTTGTGGTGTGGAACATAATTTTTTTAAAAAAATAAAAAAAATATTTACAATGCTTGAGCATGCCTTGCTTAATGTATAGTTCAATTTTTTTTTGTTTCGGTTTTTAGGGCCAGCAATTTGGGACAACCTGGAGTTTGGGCATTTGAGATTGGTGGCTCAAATGATATCCTATCGGCCAAAGGTACTCATTCTCCTGCCAGTGTAGAATACAACGACTATGAGCAATTCCAGGATGTGACCATAGACCCTTCCATTCTCCAACAAGATCCCATTGAAATAAGCCATCCAGAAGTCTCCTATGAAGTTTCTGACAGAGGAGATAATTTTCAGACTGGATACATCTTACCTCAGCCAGCAATAGAAGATGATTTTCAGCTTCCATACCAAACTTTAACTGATCAACCTCCAGTTAAACTTCCACCCCCGACAGGGAAAAATCCACCTCTACAGTTTCCAATTCATCAATTTCCCAACCAGCATGCTCAGATTATTGAAGTAGAAGAAGATGATGAAACTGGAATTGGTAAGATCACCTAGCAAAATCTCTATTGATTATCTTTTGTAAATACTTTAGGCTGTTTCGTGAGATACAAAAGTATTTACAGCGTGTCCATTGTATGATGAACAACAGATATGAAGGAATCTCTCTCCCCACCCCCGGTTTCTAAATATGCATGGGCATAGGAAGTGTTAAAGGTCTCACAGCATATTTCTTTCACTTGCAAACATGCTAACTTTGCATCTTATAAAAAAGTCCTCATTTGGGTGTTGATGAACAAAACATGTCTCCTATATGAGCTGCCTTTAGTACATATTTACTAATTAGGCTAAGAGAGGCAACCTGCAGTTCAAAAACTGAATTCTTCCTCCTAAACATTAGGAATTGGCCATACTTGTTTATGCAAAGTACATTGTCACTGACTTACATCTTGTGGCCCTTAGCTGCCTAAGAAAATAACCCTTCTCCCCACACTGCAAATTCAAAAGTTGTTCAGGATATAGGGAATGGCTTTGAAGGCCAGGATGAAGAACCACTATCAAGACAATGGTCAGACAAGCTTGAACCCATTCCAGGAAGTCAGTTTGGGTAAATGTTTCAAAGAGGCCCCTCCGTGGTTCACGCAAATATAAAGTGAAGGAGGGGGAAGTACATTTAAACTTGCAAGATTTTGTTACTGAGACTGTTACAATAAAAGTAGTCCTGACCTAAATGGTTTTGTTTTTTTTTAGTCTAGTCTACCTTGTAGGGCTTATAAAACTTTTGCCATCCTTGTATCAGATAGAGAAAATATCATTGTTAACTGAAGGGAGAGAGCTGGAATATTCAATAGTGCACTGTGAACAATTTGTATTCTTCTTTGTGGTTAAAGTCTATTGAAACAATTCTGACATGAACATCAGAGTTGGGGCATGTCATAGAGATGTACCCTTGTCAAACATATGTATTCTAATTTTGGATGTATTTCTTATTGCTCAATGGAGGCAATATTGAAGATTAAAATTCATAATGAAAAAATACCAACACCACCTAACAATTCAAAATATGGTAAAACATTTTTAAAAGCTTGGAGAAGGAAGGCTAGATGAAGCTGCTGAAGGGACGACTGTCTGGGAGAAAGAGAAAGTCTGGTGCCTGGGATGAAAAAAGCATCTTGCTATCCACAAGTGAAAAATTGTAAAATTGGATTTTGCCATCTATCTGTTTCTTCTGGCTCTACCAGGCTGAATTTCTATTCTGTTTCACAACCAGCAGAGGTTCGGGTGCCAGAGAATTAAATGTGGCAATAGTAATTCAGGAGACATTACCTTTACAATAAGAAAGATATTCCTATATTATGTGGTTCTGCATTCTGACCATTTTGTAGCTAACAAATGGGGAGATAAAAGACACCATAACTGGCTTAAAATTCTGTGAGCCTAACCTACAGAAAGCACTGTATTTTTCCCCCCTATCTACAGTGTTCCGTTACAATACAGATGTCCAGCAAAGCTGTGCAAACAACCGCCATCAGTGTTCAGTTCATGCTGTTTGCAAAGACTACCCAAGTGGCTTTTGTTGCAGTTGTATTGTTGGCTACAAAGGAAATGGCAGGCAATGTGTAGCTGAAGGTAAACTGTTGGTTTCCAAGTTAAATATCTATAATATAGCACAGCATTTTTCTGAAGTCTCTTTTCTTTGGCAAATGTAAATGTTATTCTTTTGGAGCAGACTAGGCACTGTGCAAAATCTCATACAATATTCAATCCAGGATATAGTAGGATATAGTAGAGAACTCTGAAATACTTAACTTTCTGAAAGGATTAAAGAAAATGTTATTAGCTACTACAGTGTTTCATAATAATGCATAATTATTTTTAAAATTGTTAATCTGAAAAAGGGATTAATTCCACATTTTCCTGGTTTTCTTAAAGTTGTTATTATTATTATTATTATTATTATTATTATTAATAATAATAATAATAATAATAATAATAATAATAATAATAATAATAATAAAGTTGGAAGGGACTTTGGAGGTCATCGAGTCCAACCCCCTGCCCAGGCAGGAACCCTACACCATTTCAGACAAACGGCTGTCCAGTCTCTTCTTAAAAACTATTAAAAGAACACAACTTGCTAGTTGGTTAATAGCAATAGCAATAGTATTTAGACTTATAAACCGCTTCATAGTGCTTTATAGCACTCTTGGGGCAGTTTACAATGTCAGCATATTGCCCCCAACAATCTGTATCCTCATTTTAATGATTTCAGAAGGATGGAAGGCTGAATCAACCTTGAAGCCCCTCACATTAACCAAGGTCTACAATACTACAGGAATACAATATTTACATTTTACTGTTTTATTTTACTAGGTTCTCCTCAGCGAGTCAATGGAAAAGTCAAAGGACGGATCTTTGTTGGAAACAACCCAGTACCAGTTGTATTTGAGAACACTGACCTCCACTCATATGTTGTGATGAACCATGGGCGTGCATACACGGCCATTAGCACAATTCCAGAGACTTTGGGTTTCTCCTTGCTTCCTCTCGCTTCCATTGGGGGTATCATTGGATGGATGTTTGCCGTGGAACAGGAAGGTTACCAAAATGGATTCAGTGTTACTGGTAATTTTTAACATTTCTTCTTAAAATTATGTATTACTTATGTTATAATATTTGTTATGATTTCTACATTCCCATTGAGGAGGTTTTGTAAGCTTGTTTTGTAAGTTTATTATTTTCAGAAGAAGACAAGCAGCAAAATCACACCATAATATATTGTCTTTTCTTTCATGAACTATTTTTGCATCTTTCCCCCCATCCTATTAATAAAAATATAATAATCATAATATACTGGGAGGGGGGAAATCACAAAATATAAAAACTGGCAAATAAAAATGAACCAACTGTAGCAAAACAAAATAAAAATACTGTCAATAGTAATAGGCATCTTGGGTGCAGACCCAAAACATCAGGAGCACTACTCAAACTCCATCAGATTGACAAAATCACCATCAGCCAATTGCAAAAGGCAGCTTTACTTTGGAACAGCTTACAACCAGTGATGACACCTTTAATGACATCAAACAACATCTGTCTATCCCAGGTCCTTGGGAAGGATTCAGTAGGTGGATAAAATGCCAAATCCAGTCTAAACATCTGGCTGATTATGCAACAAGCCACACAATAAAAAAAGCAAGGAGACACCAAAAGCAGAAAATGAGATTGTGGACGCCAAGGATGAGCAAGAAAAATAGACCATAGGTTGTGTGGTTTGTTTAAACAATTGTTAAAAAAAATTCTTAGAATTCAGACATAGTTTTTTTAAACTATAGCTTGTTAACAAACTCACAGTTAGCTGGGTATATACATAATACTAAACCAAAAGCAAGCAGTCCACATAAGGTTTGGCTGGCTAGGTGAACCTAGGCTAAAGGTTAATATTTCAACATAGAAGATGACTCTTCCAACAGATAAATAAAACGTAATTTATCTTCTAGGTGGCGAGTTTACAAGGCAAGCAGAAGTTACATTCCTCAGCAACAATGAAAAGCTGATCATTAAGCAGAAGTTCAGTGGGATTGATGAACATGGGCATCTTACAATCAGCACGGAACTTGAAGGCAAAGTACCTGAGATCCCTTTTGGCTCATCCGTCCATATAGAACCCTACACTGAGATCTATCATTCTTCTAGTTCAGGTAAGTTAAATATATTTGCACGCTTATTGCTTGGAAAGCCTGCAGCCAAATCGATTAATGCAGGATGAAATCATCTATTCAGGCTCTGGTCTCCTTTAACCAAAGGAGGTATATCACACCACTTATGAAACTAATTGACATTAAGTGGCTAGAACTCAGATCAACACATGCAAAATATAGGTGTTCAAAGCTAACTTCTCATCACTTCCCCCTTCACAGCAGCTCTTTCAGCTTGTCCTTCAGGAAACAGTCTTAAGGAGTGTTGAAGAAAGGAGATAACTGATGTTGATTCATGACAACCATTTTTAATTCAAAGATTTTGCTAACTAGTCAGGCATTTAGTAGTTTCAGAACTCTTGGTAGAGTTGTTGGATTGGGGGAGCGTGGGGGTTGCTGGGTGGAAATGGGATAGGTAAGTCAGTTTCTGCCAACTCCGTTAAACATGTATTTTGTTTCATTGTTTCCCCCCCTCATATGTATGTATTGTATCTGCAGGCCAGCACAATGCATCATGTACAGTATAATTATATCATTGGTATCATGTATCTTAGATTTGTAGCAACATACTTGAAATTTTCTAATTTATTGCAGTGTTTTAGCCAACAAATTACCTTTATATTTGGCTAAAAAAAATCTCATCAAAATGATTAGTTTCCAGCCATATGCTCAAAATGAGGGATTATCTTGATTGACATTTTGAGTGACATGCTAAGGACTACACTCCACAAATACAGTTATTTCAGCACAGTTTGTATTTAATAGTTTCCCCTTTTTCTCTCATGAACCCTTTCAATTTGGTTGGCAGCCTTTGTAGAGATTACGAAAACTTCAATCAAAGCTTTGGGAGAGCCACATTTTTTTTTATTTTCCCAGCTTATATTTCAGGAAACCTTATGCAGTCATTTATAATTACCAATAAAGAAGATACTTCACATTGTTTTTACTATATTTAAATGTAAACATCCATTGTGTAGATTATACTTTACTGAAAAGACTTTGCTAGATAAATCTTTCTGTAATGAAATTGTTCAGTGCTCAAGTCTTATTAATTTGCACTCAGATAAATGAGGATGTGACTTGCTAGGCTGACCAGATGTGGGCTGCAAAAATCCAGATAACCTCTAAATGACAACAGAGTGTTGAGTTCTCTGTGCTTCTTGGTTGACAGCTAGTAGTTGCCCCAATTTTTGTAGTCTAACTCTGTAAGACCAATTGATTAATTGTTCAGTGTTGTTTATGATTTCATAGACTTTAAGAGCTTGCTCTCAAACAAATCCATTTGTTTGATGGATGGAATTTAAGATTGCAAAACAAGAAATGATACAAAAATTGAATTGTGTGATGCAATGGGAAATATTTTTGATTTATTATGAAATCTGATGGAAAAAAATGGATCATTTTAAGATTTTAAGATTTAAATACTGAGATTGGGAAACACTGCTCTCAGGAGATTTGCTGCTTTCCTTCAGCCTAATTCAACATTTTGAACAAGACAGCTGTAGTCTTTAGTTACACAATATAAAAAGTTAGATTTTTCAATCTTTCAAAGTTAACATCTTCAGTTGAAGAAAAGTAAATTGAATATAAATTAAACATAAGCTGATTGATATTGTACGAGACTTGGCTTAAACTATTGCATAAATATATAAAAAGATAAAATAAACAATAGCCTTTTATGAAGGAATGAATTGAACCCCTCCAAAATAGTATTCAATTCATAGTGGAGAAACAGTGAAACCATTTCTGTTATTCACATTCCTCCCCTGTGACTCCTAAAAAGCTGTTCTAAAGAAGCAAAATAGCTCCAAAGCAGCATGAAATGTGACTAAAGATCACAAAGGCATGAGAAAATAAATAAGTCCCCCACCCCATTTCCTCTGTAAGTAGGAAAATGTCTTTTGGAGTCTTCTGTGAATGAATTATCAAGAGTCAGCCCCATTATTCTAGGGCTAAATTATTTATATTTTAATATTGTTGTGTTAAATGAAATATATTCAAGTATGGCTAATTTATATTTATTAATACGAATGTATTTCATTATTTCAGTTATCACATCATCTTCTACCAGAGAGTACACTGTGACGGAGCCAGAAAGAAATGGAGTATCACCAACATATACAGTTTCTTATCAATGGCGACAAACGATTTCATTTGATGAATGCATCTATGATGATTCTCATCATTCTGGGTCAGCCACTCAGCAGCTATCAGTGGACAGTGTCTTTGTCTTATACAACAAAGAGGAGCAGATTTTGCGATATGCGATGAGCAATTCAATTGGCCCAATTGGTACGTTTGGTGACAATTAGCCTGGTTTACTTCCACTGCCTTTGCATAGAAGCCTGTCTTTGATTTTACATTTGTGGATTTTCAGACGGAACAGTCCATATGAAAGAGCCCTTCGCTTTGCTGATCCACCATCCTGCTTCCAACAACATCTCCAGGATGCAATAACTGAAAGCAGCAGTCAGCCACCTGCTGTTCATTTCTAAAAACCCTTTCTGACATATTGACTTTGATCCTAGAAGTTCCATTAACAGTTCTATTCTTTATGAATTTCACAAATCTTTGCTTAAAGCAGGGGTCTTCAAACTTGGCCCTTTTATGACTTGTGGATTTCAACTCCCAGAATTCCTCAACCAGTGTGCCTGGCTGAGGAATTCTGGGAGTTGAAGTCCACAAGTCATAAAAGGGCCAAGTTTGAAGACCACTGGCTTAAAGTAACTTAAGCTAGTGACCATCACTGTGTAAATGTGCCAATGAATTCCATACATACTTTAGTGAAGAATTACTTTCTTGTGCCTGCCTTGAGCTACCTGTGCCATCTGGTATCAATGAAGGACCCTGAGTGCTAGTAATATAAGAAAAAAGTATTCACTATCCATCCTCCATATATCAATTCACACATTGTTATTATTTGTTCCTTTAGTGATATTTTTTGTAGCTAGAAAACCCAAACATTCAACCTTTCTTCAAAAGGAGAATTTTTTTTTCTTCTGTTCTCTGATATTCATTTCAGAATGGGGTGATTCATGAATAGCGCTATTGATTACCTGATCTTCTAAGAACAGACATAAAAGCAATTTGTTTTTTTAAAGGATCTATTACACTGACAATACAAACCTATATATAGCTATTCGAAAGTAAGCTTCAGTGATTTCAGTAAGGCTTATTTCCATGTAAGTGCATATGGATTACTTTCTTAAATGAGAAATACCTTACTGTTTGGGTATAGCTAAAGAATATTTTCTTTGTGAATATTTGCTATATGATTTATTAACATTCTACCATGAAATTTCATAAGTAAGATAACTCATTTATTAAATGTCTGCTTAAGATCACTTATGAAGTGATCACTCATTCCATAGCACAATTTGACTAGAATGATATACTATTATTAAAATGATTGCATTTTAAAATGATTAAAATTGTTAAGAAGCCAGGCTGAGTTATGACTGGAAGATAGGTAGGCAGGCAGGCAGGCAGGCAGGCAGGCAGGCAGGCAGGCAGACAGATAGATAGATAGATAGATATCACATTCTAAAAGCTGGATTTCAAATTTCAAAGCTGGATGATAAATCATCCATACGGGTTAGGTAACAAAACTGATCTGCAGAAAAGCTGAGTAGAAATACAGTATGCTGTTTGTGAATACAGCTATAATTCACTCTTATTATGTCATAGTTATTATTTATTAAATTTATATTCATAGTTATTCTGAATTGAGAGAAATGCTTAGAGTTTCTATATGTAGAAATAATATATGGGCCTAGAAGAACTTAGAGCTTCTGTTCATTACCTTTAAGATACATTTCCACAGTTTGTCTGTGGAAACATGAGGAGTATAAACATTTTTTACTGAGTATTTAAAAGCTATGCTGTCCAGATTTTACAGACCCATCAGCATCTTATTGACCTGGAAACCATTCAATTTTAACTTAAGCCACGTTTTCAAGAGCACAAATATAGATAATGTTTTCAGACAATCTTCTTTAAAAGTATCTTCTATGGTCTTTTGGCAGATGGTTCGGGTGATGTAAGCCGCAATCCTTGTTACACAGGCAGCCATGGCTGTGATATTAATGCAGTTTGTCGTCCAGGAACAGGCAATCAATTTACCTGTGAATGCTCGGTGGGTTTCCGGGGAGATGGACGGACATGTTATGGTAGGAATTTTATTTTTAATAGAAAATAAAGTATTCACTTTCAGAATCTATGTTTTGCTGTTTGATATACTATTTGTTATAAACTTGCTATACATGACAAATTCTGGTATATTTCCCTCTTGTATATGTGTGCCAACAGAAAGACACCTGACTTCATCAGCAGAAATAGCAGTATGATCAAATTGTACTCTATTCAGTATCTTTTTATAGCATTTCTGCTTGCCCTGAAGTTCTGCAAATTAGGGCAGAACTATATGTGAAGTATACACATATAGGTTATTTGTATCATCTGATTTGTTCCTGCTGGGATTTTTTTTTTAACTAGAAGGGGGCAAGACCCAGATTGGGAATGTAGAGCCAAAGAAGACATTTTTAATCCTTTGTTCCAATTGGAAATGGTCTTTTGCACATAGCCATAAGGAAAGTAATCCAAATGGGAACCACAATAAAAATGCTGATAAAGCTTGATTCCTACCTATCAACTGCAGAAATGGCAGATGCAGGGCGGGACCCAAGCCAATCCATACAATTAATACTACCTTGACGTTAGCTCGTAGTTTCTCAGAGCCAAATTAAAGGTGATTTGTAATAATAGCTATTACGCCAATTGTTGATGTTTTAAGAAAACAAAAATGCTGTTGTGGGAGGTTGTGTATCAAAGCTGAGGGGTGGCAGTACAGAATTGCTGCTGACCTGCTTGAGTTATGTTTATGTTTAAAATTTTTCACAACAACTACACAGCAATCTGAAGATAATTTTGAACAGCAAGGCAGCTAGGGATTAGCTATATCCCTCCACAATTTATTTATCTTCTGCAAGCCTGCAATCTTCTGAGGTATTTTGGGTTTAAAAATAAACACCCATCCCCTCTTGTGCAGACCTTGATGTTGCCGTGATACTAAATTACTGTGCTGTAAGAATCAGATGGAATAAAAACACACCAATATCCTAATCTGGCAAAATCAGATACTAGGTTCTTCATCACTTACGTCTTGACAAGTCATTTGCCTGGTGCTTCTAATCTCTGTTGTAACAGGTTTGCTTGGAAGACAGAGATGGCCTTTCAGCTGAACTAAAGCTAAACACAGATATGTCATGTTCTTCCTTTAAAGAATTGTGAGTGACAGTCGTATAATAATGTTGCTTTTCTACACAGATGTAGATGAATGCCAGGAGCAGCCAACTGTGTGTGGCAGTAATGCTGTGTGTAATAATCAGCCAGGAACTTTCCGATGTGAATGTTTAGAGGGTTATCAGTTTTCAGATGATGGGCGAACATGCATAGGTGAGTTTACTTCAAAACCTCCTTTATTGTTTTGGGAAATCCAGAACAGTTTAAGAGATTACTACAATGAGTCCTTGACTTACAACCATTAGTTTAATGACTGTTCGAAGTTATGATGCCTTGGAAAAAGTGGCTTATGACTTGAACTCGCGTTTATGACACTCATGGTCACATAATTCCAATTCAGGCATTTGGCAACTGGCTTGCGTTTACAACTGGTTGCAGCATCCTGTGATCACATGATTGTGATTTGCAAACTTTTTGCCAATTTTCAGCAAAAAAAACCCGCCCATTGGGAAAACTGCATGCACTTAATGAATACCCGATTCATTCAACAACTGCTGTAAAAATTGTCGCACAATTGGGTTCAACTTGATGAACAACAGAAATTCTGGTCCCAGTTGTAGGTCACTTGGCAACAGATGCTTCAGCCAGGAGCTCCCCAAATGAGAGGGAGAAGATAGCCAAGGTTAGCCGGAAGTGGTGGGTGGTGGAGTGTAGGGTGACCAAAAGGGCAGAGGAGGGAAGAGATGGGAGGTGGGCGAACTGAAGTGGAGATGAGCATGGCAGGGTAGGAGAAACATAAGGTCCTCGCCTAACAATGGTCTGCAATCCTGACTTATTGGCCACAACCGGGACTAATGGAATAGCTTTTGCTAGGCAGTGCAGTCACATGATGTTTTGCCTAATGTCCGTTTTGCTTAGCAATGAAAATTTTAGTCCCAATTATGGTTATTAAGCAAGGACTACCTGTACAATAAAAGTAGTCTTCACCTCTATGGCATTGGTTTCCTGATCTGGTGTACCATGTACCTTTCATTATATAATTCCATCCTTCCATGCTTGCACTTATAGATAAGTAGATAAGAGGCAGAAATTTTATTGTGACACATATTATGAGATACCTCCCCCTTGCTCCCCTTATGGATGACTATGGTCTTTGGTCTGCTGTCATTTATGTGTAAAAATACCCCATCCTGCTATGTGGCTCTGGGTCATTTCCACAGTGCTAGAAAAGATGAGGACCCTTGGCAAAGAGCAGGTAGGAGATTTTTACAGCTAAATAATAGAAAATGGAAGGTGCTCAATCAACAAAAGCATGTAAAAAAGTAGAGCCAATACATGTGCCCTTTTTTGACTTTTTAAGTGGGGAAAATTAATATAGTCTTGGATTGCATAGCTAGTGACATGTGTTCTGTCATTTATTCACTAATAGAAAAGCATCCAGATGAGATCCCAGCAGAATCTTTTTAACCTTTACAGAATAAATTATTTGCTGTATTAAAAATGTCCTAATGAAGCATATTGAGGAAAGAGGAGAGACATAAAACTGTGGCTGAGTTAAGACTAAACTTGTAATAAAGGGAAACTGAATAGTTTATAGTGAAGGCATGTAATTTAATAAGGTTTCTAAAGTTTTAATCTGATAATTTTTTTATTGTCTGCCAAACAGCTGTATTAAACATTTCCTTTCTTATATTTTAGTAGCTTCAACATCTGTTTGGAAGAAAGTTTAGTGCTTGGCTGTAGCTCGGCATGTCTTTAATTTGTTTTTTCTTTCTCCCTGTCAAATGCAATTGTTTAGTTAACTGTATCTCTAGTAAAGGAGAAGGGAGTAAAAAAAAATCCTTTGAAATCTGGAGATAGTTTTGGGATTTAATGCAGATTCCACTGAGCTACAGTAGATGCAGTATGAGACAACTTGTATTCTGTATATAGATAATTCTTGACTTAAAGACTGTAATTGACCCCGGAAGTCATTACAGTTGTTAAGCAGGTCACTATCTGGCCTCACCTGATTTTACAACCTTTTTCGGTGTGGCTCTTAAGTGAATCCATTTTATCCAATGACAGCTTTTTGGCCAAAAACTGAGAGTAAATGCTAGGAACTAGCAAAAAATGTAGAAAGGTATGATCCTGTGACCATGGGATGCTGCAAACAGCCATAAAGATGAACTGGTTGCCCAGTGCCCAAAAGGCAATCATGTGATCTATGTCTGCAGATGTCAGCACTTCAAAGTTGGGTTGTAAGAATCCATTGTAACATTGAACAATTGCTAAATGACCAGTCATAAGTTGAGGACTCTCTGTACAGTATATGTCTAAAGAGGGAGAAAGGGATATAACATCCTATACATCCATTTATGCCTCTCAGGGCACCAAATAATTTGGGCCTTAAAATGACTCAGCTTTTGTTATTATCATTATTTGAGGAGCAACAAATAACTGCACATAGTTTAAAAAGTACTTCTTGTAAATTGAAGTGTTTTATACTGTCAAGCCCTATTCAGCAGGACATGATCAAGAATTTAGAATAGAATAGAATAGAATAGAATAGAGTAGAATTGGAAGGGACCTTGGAGATCTTCTAGTCCAACCCCCTGCTCAGGCAGGAAACCCTATACCCTTTCAGACAAATGGTTGTCCAATCTCTTCTTTAAAAACTGCCAGACTTTAATCAGGAATTTTAGTATAGGAATTAGGAATTTGGTACAGACTCCTAGAAATGCAATAGGAACTTCCAGCCCTCTTCTACCACTAAGGTAGAAGGTAACACTACTACTACTACTACTACTACTACTACTACTACTACTACTACTACTAATAATAATAATAATAATAATAATAATAATAATAATAATAAAGTTGGAAGGGACCTTGGAGGTCATCGAGTCCAACCCCCTGCTCAGGCAGGAACCCTACACCATTTCAGACAAATGGCTGTCCAGTCTCTTCTTAAAAACTTCCAGTGTTGGAGCCTGTACCCTGGACTGAACTGTCATTAATTTGATAGCCCTCTATTACACTGCAATATCTATTAGTTACTGATGTCCAGAGTTCCTCCCACTTCTTACTCAGCGTCTTCACTCTCTTCACACATAGTTTTCCTCTTTTCATTTAAAGCTGATTTGCTTTGTTCCCAGAGTTATATCCATCTACTCTGTAAGGGGAAAAATGTTTCCAATTTTTCCAGCAGTTGTATCAGAAAAGTATGACCTTGAGACTGTCCAGACGAAAGATAAGATCGGTATAAGGAACAGATCTTCTATCCTTAGCTTATGCAAAAGTGAATGAGCAGCTGCGTCAAATAATGAGAAAAACAAAGAAGGAAAAATATTTGAAGAGGAAAGGATCCAAGTGTCCATCAAAAGATGCTATTATTATAGTCAGAGAAGAGACAGAGGATGAAAGTTGTGCAATGACTGAATGTAGCATTTTAAAGTGTAAACAAAAAAGCACAAGGAAATACATCTTAATTAAGAACTCAAAGGAATAAAAGAAAATAGCTAAAAAGAAAGAGAGCTGTTTTATAAGAAAATCAGAAGAAAATTTACAAAATAGGATTATTAAAGAGAAAGTATAGAAGAAATGAAAAAGAGTTTGCAAATGAATGCAAAAAAAGCAGAAGGACAATATTGAAACCATTTAGAAATAGCTTTATAGAATGACATAAATATTGTGTAGTGGGTTCCGTAGGCAATAACCAGACCGGCATGGTACAACAGTATTTATTAACTCAGAACAGAACTGTCTAAAACCAGCAACATGCCTGCAATTTATACTTTCCGCCTCTAGGGCATCAGCCAATCACAACGTTAGCTTGCTCCCACCTAAACTTGAATTCTGAATCTTCCCTCCAAAACAGTTGGAGTTTCGTTAGTTGCATAATACATTAAGATTCGTTCTTAATACATAACAATAAACATTTGCAGAGACAGTGTGCGTAAGTTCAGAACCTATTCCATCACAAGGTGGACTTAACTAGAGGCAGCACCTGCTGTCATGTAGGAAAACCCATGGTGCAAGTGAAAATGCCCATTAAACTGTTTAAAGCTGCAAGAGAAAAGGCAGTCAACGAGCTAACTGTGTCAAAAGATTTCAGACAAAACCGGGTGGTTCTGAGGTTGGTGTCTATTCAATACCAAAGTAAGAACTTGCAAAAGAATGTGCAAATCACTCATTCCTAATACAGGCAACATTTTGCTTAAGATCTTACAAAGGAAAATAGAACCATGTGTAGAGCTACTTACCGCTGACAGCAGATCAGATAGTTAAAATAAAATATGTAATGGAGAATATATGAAATAATGATTTACTATTTATACTTAGCAACAATAAAGAATGAGAATATAGATAGATAGAATCCCAAAGTAAAGTGAGATTAATTATGAGAAGATATGAAAGTTAAAGATATTTTAAGAAAGCAAAAACAAAAAACAAAAAAACCCACCCCTGAATAGTTGAAGCAGTGGTTTCTGAGTAGTAAAGAAGAAAGATGGATGCCTTTGAATTATGTCCCTGAAGTTGGTACCATTGGCTGCACAAAGTAGTCAATCAAATGGTCTTGGATTAAATAGAGACTGACTGTTTCAAGCAGAAACTCACAGATTTTGGGGATATGATTTGAGTGATTGACACAACAAACTATTATGCTTGCTCATGTTGAGGGAAGTAGAGAAAGAGAAACACACTGGATTAAAGGTTGAGGAATCAAGGTCCCTGGATGACTTTGGAAATACTGTGGGCTATAACAAGTGGAGATTGTATCATTTGTCCATCTATTCACGAGGAATCAGGCCCAATAGATTCATAGCTCTGAAGGAAAGGAAAACAGTTAGATATCCTTTGCATTATTGTGTAGGAAACTCATACAATTTTGTCTTATTTGGAGAATACGTCAAATTTTACCAGAAGTCATGGAGAATTGCAGGAGAGAAATCTGTGTTATATGCACTGTATATTTTCCTTGTGTACAGCCAACATTGGACATAGCCTTATTTGTTGCCAGTATCATACAAAATATTTTGGAAATAATAATTGATTTAATTATTAATTAATTATAGGATATATTTATGTGCTTAATTATTTTAATTGGAAAATTGTTTTCATAGTAGAAGAAATTAAGTGAGGTTCAATGTGCCTTTGGATATTTTACAACATGGACGAAGATTTTCAGAATGTTAAAAAGAATGTTAATGACATGTTCCTTAAATATATCATTTTATGAATAGTATAGTTTCTCTCATGTTTTAGAGATCATTTAATTCCCAAATGAGTATACTTAGTGATGACTATTCAGTTTGGTAATGTTCTGTATTTGTTTAAAACTCATTAATCTGCCAACGTTTTTATAACTCACTGAGTTGCAGATACAATCAGTTGCCAAATAGTAATTCTGGGTCAGCGGTGGCTTAAATTTTAGTAAGATAGTAAATCATTCTTTGTATAAGCAACCAGAGTTTGCAATGAGGCCTTTCATGGTTTTATTGTTTCTCCACATGGAGCCATTGCTAACCAGCAATTATGTAAAAAAAGTGCTGCATTTGAAGCTATGATTATGTACTGAATTATACATAGTTGATTAATTTCTAGGATCTAAATGTTGTACACAGTAGTGCAGAATTTCAAGAACATATTCCACTCTGTAGCTGCTGCCATAAAATATATTTGAGCAAAAATAGGTTGTAAACTTGTGCTGTATACTGTGTGCATATCTATCTGTCTGTCTTCCCCAGATGTAAAACAGGAGCTGGTAGTAAACTCCACTGGAATGGTTTTGAGTAAATGCTAATATGAGTACAAACACAAACACACACACACACACACAAATTACTATTTTATTTGGGTTTTTTTCTCTTTGTTCAAGATATAACTTTTATAATGTAAGATAAAGCTGACATTGTCCTTTCCCCCCATTCATTTTCAAGCAGAAATAGGATACTGTCTAAGAATTCATGCCTAGATGTCATGGGAAAAGGAAGGTGGGAGAGATAATTTAGAAAGTAAGATGAAAAATTCTTCATAACACATTATGAATGGCAAATGTTGAATTCTCTGAGATCTCTGGTCCTTGTTAATGACAAATCAGTAGGCTAGAAGTATGAGACAAACAAAATTTGCCAAGCTTCTTTTTCTCTATGTCTGGAAATTGCCATCTTGACTATTGTCTCAAACAGCAAAATGTATGGAATTGCGTTGAATTGTAGAGAAGTAAATTTGTATAACATAATGAACTAAAAAGATGGAAAATGCCACCATGATTGTGAGAATCTTTGCTTGAGAAAAAGCAGAATGCAGGAAATGTGGTCAGGGTTTGCTAAAAAGAAGCAGCTAAACCAATGAAACCAAAAGATGACTCTAGCATCTATATATAAACTGCAAGACTGATAGGAAGGAAACCAAAATATATTTGATAAACACAAGAAAATAAATAAATACAGAGTACTGATGACATGGGCACTAGCTAGATGTCATACACACGGTACTCCTCTAAGTAACAATTTGGCTACCCAGTATTTTTATGATTTCTCCCAAATTTTGCAACATTCTAAGGTATAAAATCAATAATACCTTGAAATCCTAGTATGGAAAGATTATTTTTAAAAAATCTGCTCAGTTTTTTCTCAATTCTCACCATCTCCTCAGAATATATTTTTTTGTTGTTGAAAAATAAAAAGCTTAAACTTTAATATTCTTTGCATATGCATATCTGATTTACAGCTGTTGACCGTGAAGTGAATCATTGTTTGATGGGTTCACACACCTGTGATATCCCCCAACGTGCCCGCTGCATCTACTCTGGTGGATCTTCTTATATCTGTGCGTGTATTCCGGGATTTTCTGGAGATGGACGCTCCTGCATAGGTGAGGGTTAGCATTGTTCCCTTTCCTCTTTGTCCTTCTTGATCTTTATGCAAATCTGTTACACAGTAAATGTGTGCAATTCCTTTTATCATAGTAATTTTTAGGTGCTGAAGAAAATAACTTTTTTGGAAGTGAAATTGACCGAAAGAAGCTTTTTTTTTATTGCTGGGGTCAAATATTCTACAATACATATTTTTTAAAAGTTATTTTTTTCATATTAATTTTTTGAAAGCAAATGTGAACAGTATTGTGCAATGAGAATTTGTATGAAAATATTATTAATTACAAATATACCTTCAGAAATCCTAAAAAGGCAGAAATAACCAATTATTAACAGTATGCACTTATCAAAAGTTGACAGATTCCATCTAGAATACTCAAGATTTGCAGGCAAATAGCAATTGTTTATTTCAGTATTAACAATGATAAAATAATCTGATTGTGAAATATTATGCTATTACTAGAAATGCATATTTTATGTTGATGGAAGATATTAAATGTTTCTCTGATATTTGATTCCCATTGAATTTCCTGTGCCATTTATAATTTATTTATTTATATATGAGATGCATGGGATACTGATATGTTCCAACTTCGTATTTTTTTTCTATTTAAATTGTTCATTAAATTGTTAATTGTTCATTCAAATAGTTACAACTATCTTGGAACCATTTAGCATGCTCACAATCTATATGCATAAATGTTGCTTGTGAATGATCAAACAAATAGTTATTATTTGACTCAGCAGGAACTTGCCTTGATTCATCACACAGAAAAGAGGATGGGGTTGCAGACTCAAATATTTTGCAGAGGATTTACAATAAGATACTGAATGGAAGAGTCTTAAATCCCATATTCCTTTTCTCTACCCTTACAAAAATAGATGTAGATGAATGTCAACAGAACCGCTGCCATCCAGATGCTGTCTGCTACAACAGCCCAGGGTCCTTCAGCTGCCAGTGCAAAGCAGGTTATTATGGAGATGGCTTCCACTGTGTACCACAAGGTAAACTTTTGGAATGATATGTAAAATATTCTTAGAGAGCAAACACTAAAGAGTAGTTCCATGGAATAGTAGATGGGCAGCAATTATGTTTTGCATTCAGTGACTAATCAAGCTTTGATCAAGCTATAATTATTTGATACTGCTTTTTGCTTTTCAAATCTGTTGTTGTTCCTTGTAGTTAAGGAAGGGATAAGACAGCCATCCAACTCTTGACATATATATAGCTGTAAGATAGAACTACAAGGTCATATTCTATACTTGTATTATCTATTTTTTTTACAGGTTTTTTTATCAGTATTACAGCTGAAGTATTTTAAGACAGCTTTCTGCATCTTTAAATTTAAGCAAAAATATTTATTCCACAATGCAGAAATTGTTTTTATTTAACAAATTCATTTTTTAAAGAAGCTGCAGAATTTTGCATAACTTCGGGACATACCCAGCTTGCCAGTAAAAAAGGTACTGATGTAAGAGTAGCGCTCTAAAAAAGTACTAAGTACTAAGAGTATCTATAATTCATTATATCTTCACACTCCGCTGTTTTATTTCAAAAAGAAAAAAATGTCTGAATTCTGTCACCCCTTTCCCTTCATAGGCTTTATTTACCATACAGAAACAAACGCAGACACTCTGGCTAGAGGCTATTATCAATAAGCATCATTCACCAACTGTTAAAGTCTGTTATCCTTCACAAAGGAAATGAATTGCTGATAAAAATTGGCAACAGATTGGTAATGCTTTGTAACAGAAGTAAAAGTGAATGGATTACAAGTACAACCTCCTAATATTGAAGTGTTAATTAACTTTTCTTTGAACTTCTCTTCAAAATATCACTTTAAACTGACATGTTACTTCCCAGAGCTATCTTAAAAAAAATGACTCATCTTACAGCAATCTGCCTCAACCCAATGCCCTCCAGAAGGGTTGGACTACATCTGTAGAATACACAGCTATGCTGCTGGGATCTTTTCATCTAAATACCTTTAGGGGACACATAGTTAAAAACATAGGAACAGCCTTACTGGATCTCTATCTCTCTTGAGTATCTTTGTAGCCTAATACTCAAATGTTTTCTGCATTCAATTTATTCAAATACATTATTTATAGCTGTGGGGAAAAATGACCATTGGTTTGATTCTGCTCCCTCAAAACTCAAAATAACACAATGATAGCTACTTGAAAACACTATTCCTGCAGAAAAAGACAAGGATTAAGACATAAGCAAGGTACTGGCTGGATTGGGTCTCTGGCCCATCTAGTTCTGTAATCTGTTCTTACAGTGGCCAAATAATTGCACAAGGTAGCCAGCAGATGGCCTTCAGAAGCCATCACACTACTACGAAAGGTAGTAACCACTGATCCCCATGACTTCCTTGTGTAGTGAATCCAAAGTTTAAAGACATATTGTGTCAAGAAAAAAAAAGAAGTTTGTATCTTTTCACTGAAATTCTAAACACAGTGATTAGTCTGAATCACCAACCATTTCTGATGCAATCTGTATGGGTTCCAGTTGACTTTGAAGAACTCGCGTGGGTAGAATATGGGCTTGGGTAACTGACCCAATAGAAATAAAATTAAAGAATTTTTTGCATTTTTTTCTTCTTTTTATTACAGAAGTAGAAAAGACCAAATGTCAAAGAGAACAAGAACAAATTCTGGCTTTGAGCCCAAGAGGACCTAGGCCAATTGGCCAATTTATTCCCCAGTGTGATATCTATGGGAATTACTTGCCAACCCAGTGCCATCCTAGCACTGGCTATTGCTGGTGTGTGGATAGAGATGGTAATGAGATGGATGGCACTAGAAGTGGCCCAGGTATCCAGCCTCCATGTAAGTTGCTTCTAAGTTAATAAGTTAGTGCAATATTTTTTCTTCATTTAGATTTTTCCTATTCTTACTTTCAATTTAACTAAGAAGATTGATATGAATGAACTCGAGATATTTGCAGTTATTTGTATATCAAAGTTCTATGATTAAATGAAAGATATATTTATACTATAAATGTGATTTGAATTATCTGGTTTTATATTAGGTTTGTGTTTCCAATGAAAGAAACTGTTTTGGACACATTTTCCGGTCAACACTGCATTTTACCCTAGTTCAGTGTTTCTCAATCTTAGCAACTTTTAAGATGCGTGGACTTCAACTCTCAGAATTCCTCTGGGAATGGAAGTCTACACATCTTAAAGTTGCCAAGGTTGAGAAACACTGCCCTAGTTGGCAACAGAAAGTGAAAGCATAGGCCCCTGGTATAAACCCACAATGATGAAACATGTATCGACACATCACATACCAAACTGATTCTTTGGACTTGCTTCCTGATGCCAGACACAAATATATACCGTAACTCATGTGGTTTGTATTGAGATATCACAACGTACGTTTCATCACTTGATTCCCTATGTTTCTCCCATGGATGTCTAAGGAGTGTACATTGCTTGGGGAAGTTCTTGGTTTTTCTGGTTTGTTCAATGATTTTAACATTGTTAAATTGTTAACAATTTAACATGCATGATTGGAATCACAGGAACGTAACTTTTGACCTAAAGTGTATTGCTGTATATGTATGTGTGTATAAATAAATCATCAAGTGTAAGAGAAATAAAATAAGTTTTCAACATTGTACATGAATGTGTGGATTGGCTACCTTTGCTTTTTAATAGCTGCATCTCTTAAGCAAGAAGTGTAGTATGCAATGAACATTTATATGCTATAGGTTTGTATGTGTGCATGTTTGATGATGCATGCATACAATGGTGTAATCATGATTAAGTTTTGCATTTAGAATCTGATCACTTTTTGTGGAGGAGACATGCATTGCAATCTGAGACTAGGGCAGGTAAGGTCATTGGACCTAAATCTCAAATAACAATGCACCAAACTGTAATCTCTTATGCATGTATTTTAGTGATATCTTAAATGTGTTAAATTGCCAGGCTTGTACAGAATCAGTAAGATTACCTGGCCTTGTAGATACGGCAAGTCTTGTGTCTGAGTAACCTGATAATGTATGTTTTATATTATTGGTCAATAAGGTCTGGGCACAGTTGCTCCTCCTGTTACAATGGGACCCACGGTAAAACCAGATGCAATTCCCTTGCCTCCAGGAAGCCACTTACTCATTGCTCAAAGTGGGAAGATTGACCATGTCCCTATGGAGGGGAATGTTATGAAGAAATCAGATGCAAAAGCTTTGCTGCACGTGCCGGTAAGTACATGATACATTTTTTAAAATGTTTTCTCTATAACCTATTGTTTTTATTCTAATCTTCAAAACCATATATTCTTTTTTTTCCCCACAAAAAGTCAATAAGAAGTTTCCAATCATCCTTAAATTTAGACAATGTGTCTGGTACATTTTTTGAACCCTGACCTTAAAAAATAAATTGTGGCATGTATTTTTTATTTGTAATTTGTGGTTAAAGGTAGGGATATCTAAAGGAATAAAATGTTCCTGAAGCATTGTATTTTGTAAGGTTCCTTGCTTCTGAGATAATCAGGCCCAACTTTTAGAAACAAACATACTTTATGTGGAGCTAATTTTTATTGGCTTTCTAAGCAAGTCAGGATCTCCTGTAAAATTTCCATTGTTTGGGACTTTTGGATTTTAACTGCCATTGTAGATATCTATAAAAATTTATGGGACATATAAGCTTCTTCCCAATTGCTTCCTTTCTTGGTGCACTTACGTTTCTACTGTTAATGTGATAATTTCCTGATAATTTCCAGTAAAGTGGTCAGTGTCTATATTCTGTCAAAGATTTCTTTTTCATCTCTTCTCTGTGTCTGACCTGAGTTAAGTATTTCACTATTCTCCCATTTTCTTCTGCAATTACTCTGTGTTTCTTGGTATGTAGTAGGGTCTTAATCTTTTAAAATAGTTCAGATCCTCTGAATGGGTAGCTTAGCAATGCATTTGTTTGAAAAGGTAATAGAAATCATTGATCCTGCATGTTCAACCAATGCTGCATTTTTCTCCTTAATTCCTATTACTCCTATTACATTCATGCCACATTTGTACATATCTTTTTTTTTCAAAGTTGAGAGGCTAATTAAATATTAAATTTAAATTTAGTTGACTGCAGTGTTGTTTCAGTGACAAAAGGTGTTAGAATGACAAATTTGGATACGGAGAAGACAAGACAAACAATATAAAGATAGTAACATCTGGTCAACTAAAGGATAGAATCAAACTAGAATTTCATCAAGCACAGAGATTGAGGGGAATGGATGTTTATGCTCAAATTAATATTAATTAGAATAGTTATTCTTTCATGACTCTGTGTAATATATTTTGATTCTTCCAGAAGCCTAATCTATCTATAATTGGTATTTGGCACTTAAATATGTGAACCTGCCCTGTAGAGGGTCAGACAATTGACTTCACACATTCTGGCAGATGGCGACACCCTAAGGCCCCATCATGAGATTTTTTTTCAAAGCTCAGATGAGGTCCTTTTTAACTACACAGAGCAGAAATTTGGGGCTTCTGCATGCAACTGAATTGCAATCTTTCCCTAAAAGAAAAAAAAAATGTTGAATATTATGTCTGTAAGTGATTCAGTGACATTTTGTTTCCTTTGGTGAAAGCTGTAGGCTTGGATTTTAGAAATGGGAATGGAATAAATATAGCCCAGTGTGAATTTCCAAATATCAAATTGGGAAAGACTGAAATAATTATTAGATAGAATAGTCCTACTGTGCTATTACGGTATTCAGTTTTTTAGCTGGGATTACAGAAGTCCCAAGCTTTAAATGACAATCTATTCCTTTTCTATTGCTGCAATGCAATTTGCTTCTGATCTTGGGTATCACCTTAAGCCAGAAGGCAGCACTTAACCCACCTGGACTGATCCCTAAATGGTAAAGAAAATCAGACTTGATTAGAACTAGGACGTAAGGCTTTACTTTTGAATTTCCTCATTACTATTGATTGTAGAATTTTCAAGCCACTAAATTCTTAGCCATTTCTTTAGCATTACAAATGTGATATAATAGTTTGTAATAGTTTGTCTAAAATGCAGGATAAAGTTGTTATTGGAGTTGCTTATGACTGCTTGGAGAAGATGGTTTATTGGACAGATATCAGCAGCCCATCCATCAGTAGAGCAAGCCTTGGTGGAGGAGAGCCAGTAGCCATCATAAAGACAGGTAGGAATTATAGATTTCCTTCCTCACCATGTCATAATGAACCCAATGTATATTTCCAAATGGAAAAAAGATGGAAGATGATTTTCGGCAGTTAACACTGAAGTCTTCAACATAACCTCTCACATTGTCTTGAAAAAAAAACATCAGCCCTATGGGGTACATTTGAAATTAGAGCACAGATAGAAAATTGCAGTACTTGTCTCTTTTTGCTGAAAAATTGCTCGACATTCTGCTGCATCAAAAAGCTTTTTAGTTGCAGAAAAATACCTAATCAATTATTTCGAATCTCTAGATTCACTTGGTCTATTACTACTACTATCCAAGTTCTCATACAGGCAACCAGACCTAGGATACTTAGGAAAGATACTTTAGTGTAGAATGATATTAATGCTATCTATTCAAAGAATGTATTGATTGTTATGTTTATTAGGTACAGTCAAGAAATATGAAAAATTGTGTAGATTTGAATGGACATGTTGATAATGTTGATAAACCAGACTGTTTTGATCCTGATGGTACAGATGAATGTTGGGATAACATTGTTCCCAAATCAGTAAATACCGATTTGATTTGCTATTTTTAAAAATATTTTGGAATAAAACGCTATTATGTATTGTATTTTTCAACTTGTGATAGTTTTCAACGTTACTTATTTTAGTATAACGGGCAAATGAAGACATGTATAATTTATTTCATTAAAGCGATGTGTATTAAGCTAATTTTGTTATAATATTTTGCATATCCTTTTGATTGCATCTGTTGCTACAGGGGCTTATTTTATTATCCGTCATTTGTATGTACAGTGCACTCTCTTTATATATAACTTAGAAGCAAGTATCCCCGAGCTCAGTGAGATTTACTGCCCTAGAATGGAGGTTTCAATCTCAATGAGAAAAAATAACCTCCTGATTGTTTAGAAGAATTATTTAAAATGTACGTAAGGGACACACCAACTTGGATGAAGCTCTTCTGGCTGCTCATATCTCACAAGGCCACAGAGCAACAGCACAGCTGCCTCTGTGAAAGAGTTTTCACAGGGAAGTCTGCATGCTTAACCATTAACCCCTTCTAAGGCCTATTGAGTAAAAGTGGCTTTGCATATTGTGAAATCCCATTAAAATCTATATTCCGTGTCAGTCGAGTAGCCTGTGACCTTTATAATCATCTGCTCAATTTAACAGCTGCAGAAGCTACCCCACGGGGAGAAATGCTGTCTCCTACCCTGAACTTTCCATTCTTGCATAATCTCAACATTACAATCAAATGGGGGAACGGTTATAATGTTATAAATGTCACCCCATTAAAACCTGTGTGGATTATGCCTGACTGATTATGAGGTGGTCCGATAATCAAACATCATTCAAATTTTGCAACAGTATGTGAAGAGCTACATACTGTAATGAGTGTCTTAAAATGGTTACATTCATTTCACTAACTATGTGGGCAGAGTCATGTAACTTAGTGGCTTTCAATGGCTTGTTTAATCTGCTAGAAATTTTTCATCACAAGACATAGGTTTGAAAACCTGAAAAAAAGAAAAGTTCAGTATTCTTTTTATCTTATTTAAAATATCTTATTTAAAATGGAGCAGGGAGCAGGAGTGAGGAATAGTCCTGGGGTTTATAATTATAATTTAAAAACAATGTGCTCCCACTCTTGGCCTAAATTTTGGTCAGTCTGTCTTGAATAGAACAAAACCCTTTTTGAGTTAAAAAAAATAAATCCAGCACAGTTGAATGAATACTGAACTTTTAAAAAGATGCCTATACTCAGTCTGTGTGTGTGATCAGTCCTTGGAGCCAGTGTAGAGGTTATCATCTGCTATTTCCTGTTGCCTTGGGCCTGGTCACTGTCCAAGAAAAACTAGCTACATACATTTTTAAGAGTTCTTCTAAAGCTGAAATCTCTTTTCCAAAACATTAGTTACTTGGAGCTCTAAATTTTCTCCTTATGACTAAAAACCAATTGATTTTTAAAAGTTCTCAAAATAGGTTCTTCTCTGTTTGTTTTACAGTCAATAGTTTAAAGTCATAGCATTGTACCTTTATCAGAAAAGTGTATATCTTTTATTGACATACTTACTGTAAGTATTTATAAGTTCACCCCAATTTTGTTTCTTTTACTAAAAAACAATATAGACTTTGTCATATTTGTGAAATTATGCATGCACCCAGTGTAGATATTTTCTTGTAGGTGTCTATATGGAATGAATCCACAGTATTTATTTTGATTAGAATGTTAAGAGTCACAATATGATAAGTACTAATGGGTATAGTGACTTATACTGTATCACAATATATTATACCATTATAACTTAGAGTTAGGGGAGACCTACATTTAAAGTCTCATTGAATCTTGGAATTTATTAGGTGACTTTGGGCCAGTGACACTCTTTAGCTCAACCTATTCAACAGGGATGTTGTGAGAGAGCAATTGTGTTATTCACTATGTGAGCTCCTGAGGAAATGCAGAACAAAATTGTATCAGTCAATTAACAAAAGAAATATATTCTTCCCAACACTGTATTTATATTACTTATAGTAATTGACTTGAAGATTAGGACAAGTGGTCCAACAACTATTGTAAATCCATAACTAAGAATCTTTATATTGAAATAACAGTTGAAATCCACCAATCCATTTGCTAGTTTCCTTTTACCTTCCCTTCAACAGAATGGATATTTTTGTTTCATAATTTCTCCCTCGTAGTTTCTCAATACCTTTAAGCATAATAGTCGGCCTTTGCCTTACCACTAAAGAGTTATTACAATAGCAAACCCTATTTACTTTCCTTGAATTTGCCTGGAGCAAGATGAGATATTCCACGGCACTAGGTAGGTCTCAGTATTTTGCTCATTATTCGGTACCCCTGCATTTCTGGTATTTGAGGTACTGTATTACCATTGTAACATTAGATGCTTCAAGCCCTCTTCAGAAGTTTGAGACCAAATGTGGAAGGGAGATCTCATGAACAAAATAAACTTCCTCAGAACTTAGGAATGGCTTTGAATGTTAGCCAAGCTCTTTGATTGATGTTTTCTTTTTATATCTCTTTCTTCAAGATTTGGAAAGTCCTGAAGGAATAACACTGGATCACCTTGGTCGCACGATCTTCTGGACTGATTCTCAGCTTGACAGAATAGAGGTAGCCAGAGTAGATGGCACCCATCGACGTGTATTGTTTGACACTGAGCTGGTGAATCCTCGAGCGATTGTTGCAGATCCTGTGAGGGGGTAAGGATGTATAAATATCCTGTTATATTATTTCCCATATTTTCCTATTCCTATAGCCCATGCTGTCCCAGTACCTATATCAGATTCTTTACCCATGCTAAAACTATTAGTCCATAACATTTTATAGCCAAATAGACTGTATTGTAGCTTAATATGATGCATGAATCACACGTCATAGTAAGACAATAGTAGGATCTCATAACAACCTTACTACAAATTATCCAATCCATTATAGTTTACTCTAATATGTTGTGTGAACCCAGCCTCTGAGTGTTGAATTTCTTTCAGTTTAGGAAGCACCTTGGGGATTTCCTGTTATATTTATTTATTTGATTTATGTGCCACACATCTCATCTAGAGGTGACTCTGGGCAGCTTATAAAAATGAATATTGTATCCAAGCTGAAGTTGCCAGTATGAGATCCTGTTTTCTATGCAAATGAACTTAATTTGAAATCTAGCAGTAACCTAAGACTAGAAAAGGTGGGAAGGGTATCTCACATCAGGTACGACCTGATGAAAATGGAGCAGTGTTGCATGGAATAGTAGAGAAATCAAATTGACTATGTTAATGGTACAAGAAGTGGAAGAGCTCAGTTATAATAGCAAAGGCATGGCCAGGGGCTGATTGTGGAACAGATCATGTGCAAGTTCCAAGTCAAGCTAAAGTGGGAGAATAAAACCAAGCAGTTTCCACATTATGATCTTGACCCTATAGGCAGCATTTTCAAGAAGATCAGGAATTGCTTCTACGTCCCAAACCTCATTGAGAGAGAACCAAATAAACCATGTAGTGAAATTGAAGAAGTCATTAAGGATGAATGTGAAAAATAACTGCCAAACACTAAGAAAAACAAGAGTCCAAACTGAATGTCAAAATAGATTATAGAGATTGCCAAGAGAAGAGAAGCCAATGCTGAGAAAGACTGATTTCAGGAAGGAATTTAACAATAACAACAACAAAAAAAACCCAGAGAGCTATTTAAAAAAACATTGGTTATAGAAAGGCATTCAATTGTGTGAACTATGTCGAAGAGTGGAATTTTTCTTAGGAAGATAGGAATCCCAGGTGAAACCTACATTCAGGATAGGATAAAATATGAGGAAACAGGCTGGCTTCAGATCAGCTGAGGAATGAATCGTGGCTCTATATCTTGTATTTATTTATTCAAATTATATGCTATGTATTAAGGGAGGCTGTGCATGCACTAGCTTTAACTGTGTATATGCCAGCCTCATACTAACTGAATTTTGGCTCACGTTAAACATACCTGTTATCAATTTATAAATTGCACTAAATTGAATATCACACTACAGTACTTGAACTCACACTAATCACAACCTACCTTATACAGTACACTAGTAAAGTATACTGAATTCATGAACTCAAATGAAAACCTAAATTGAAGCCAGAGACAACATTCCCATAGTGTGCTATAATTCTAACTGTAATTCTGGTGCAAAAAAAGGAAGAAGGATTAAGCTATAAAGGTAAAGAAAAATGTAGGATGAAAGTAATATACTAAATTAACAAATAATACGAAACTGTATAATATTTTCACTGCTTGGTATATAGTGCTTATTGCTTATTGGAAAAACTTTACATGTGTTTTGGTAGGCAAGTAACTTTTTAAAGGTCTGATCCTTTTTCCTTGGGAAGAAAACTTATATTCACATGAAAAGCTTACTTACTATTCACTGAGCTACCGGTTTACTCCAAATTTCTAGTTTTCCACAACATACTGACTGAGATCATGCAACATATTAAGCACATTAAAATCTAAATATGAATTAATATCACACAACTGGCTAAATATAATATGCTGTGTCATTTTTTTTAAAGAACATGTAATGGCTTAAGGGGAAAAATAACATTGCCATAGGTGTATACTATAGGCCCGTGGTGGTGAACCTATGGCACGCGTGCCACAGGCGGCACGTGGAGCCGTCTCTGGTGGCACGCGAGCCATTGCTGGGCTGAGCTGTTCCCTCCTCCTCTCCGCGCATGCGCAGCTCTCCGCGCATGCGCAGTCTGGGAATAGGCGAGAGACTATAAAAGGAGCAACTTTTGGCGGAAGCAGCATTTGCCTCAGACAGCGAGAGAGCAAGCACAAGTCGGAGCGGAAAGCGAACGAGCAAGCGAGTGAGCACGAGCTGACAGCTTGGTGGCCACGCCCACTCAGTGGCCACACCCACCCGGCACCCGGCGATGCATAAGTGGGTTTTGGGTTGCAGTTTGGGCACTCAGTCTCTAAAAGGTTCGCCACCACTGCTATAGGCCACCCAACCAAACAGAGGAAATAGATGAACTAGTCAGTTAACTAAGGTATGTAGGAAGCACACCATAATAGTAATGGGGGACTTTAACTACCCTGACATCAGCTGGGAGACAAACTCTGCACCAAGTGGAAAATCAGACATATTCCTGACAAACTTAGCAGACAGCTTTGTCTGCCAAAAAGTAGAGAAGGGAACTAGGGGATCAGCCATATTTCTTAATTCTCACCAACAGAGAGGAAATGATAGTAGGTGCTGAAGCTACAGGAACCTTGCGGGGGGGGAGTGATCATGCAATATTGGAATGCAACATTATGCAAACACAAGCAATAGAACATAGTCAAACTAGAGTCTTGGACTTTAAGAGAGCTAATTTCAATAAACGTAGAAAGAGCTTGGGAATGATTCCATGGATGAGAATCCTCAAGGGGAAAACAAGAAATTTGTGAAATTTTGAAAAGTGAGATTATAAAAGCCCAGTCTAGCACAATACCAATGAAGAAGAAAAATAACACCTCTCAAAAGAAACCAGCATGGATTCATGAAGAACTCTCTGATAAATTGAAAGACAAAAAAGACAAGTATAAAAAGTGGAAAGAGGGGCACATAAATAAGGCAGAATATCAGCAAATAGCCCGAGCTTGCAAAGTTGAAGTGAGGAAAGTTAAGGCTCAAAATGAACTAAGGCTTATGACAAAAGTAAAAAATAACAAAAAAAGAGCTTCTTTCAACATGTAAAAAACAAGAAAAAGGTCAAGGAAACAATTGGTCCATTAGTGTGAGAAAATGGCAAGAAGGTGACAAGTAACAGGGAGAAAGCAGAACTACTTAATTTGTTTTTTGCATCCGTCTTTACACAAAGGGAAAAAACAGTCCAACCTATCAACAACAGTACCATTAAAAACACAAATTAAAATAGGCAAGAAAATGGTAAGTCCACCCTAGAAGAGTTCAAATCACAAGGACCAGATAGATCACACTCCAGGTTTCTGAAGGAACTGGCGGGGGTTGAACTAGAAGACCTCCAAGGTCCCTTTCAACTATGTTATTCTATTCTATTCTATTCTATTCTATTCTATTCCATTCCATTCCATTCCATTCCATTCCATTCCATTCTACTGTATATGGACTGTTTACTCAGTATGCTGACATAATAACTGTCTCCTTATGATATGTTGAACTATAAAATACCCAGCATTATTCAGATTCAATGTATAAACTAACTGTCTGACTTACTGTATTTTCCGTCTATGAGACGCATCCTTGTATAAGACGCTCTGGCATGTGAGTTTCTCCATGCCGATCAGCTGTTCGGCAGAGTGCCGAACAGCTGAACCAGCAAATCCAGAAGTTCAGCCGGCTGACGATCTTATCCCCTCCCCCCTCACATTAGTGGCAAGCCCATGGGCTTGACACCTACACCAGGCAGCATGGCAACCCACACAGGCATGCCCTGGGCTATGGAGATTATCATTAGTTTTCCGTGTATAAGATGCTGCACTTGTATAAGATGCACCTGATTTTTGAACAGGGTGTTTGCAGGAAAAAAATAGTGTCTTATACACGGAAAAATATGGTATGTTTGCACAATGCCTTTGATTAGAAAGTGATTGAGTGATTGAAGGTTCGCTGTGTTATGTAAATAGCAGGTAAATCTTGAATTTTATAATATTAGTGCTCAAATTATTAACAAAACAAAAAGGAGAGAGAAATACTGTGCAAAGATATATTTCCCCCCAGACAAGCTTGACTTCTCGTGCCTTGATGCAAATATCCATGTAATTTTATTAGGAATAACACCAATGTGATATTTCTTTTCAGGACACCCTCCTTATGCACAGTTTTATTTATTTATTTATTTGTATATGTGTCTTTATCAATACACTCAGAAATCTTTATTGGACAGACTGGAACAGAGAAGCTCCTAAAATTGAAACCTCATATATGGATGGTACCAATAGAAGAATTCTTGTTAAGGATGATTTGGGACTGCCAAATGGGCTGACATTTGACACCTATTCTTCATTGTTGTGCTGGGTAGATGCAGGTAAAGTCTTACACTGTAGAACGAACTAAACTGATGAAATAAATGAACAACTGGATGCTAAAAATATCAGGGGGCCCCTGTAGTTATGACAGTGCTACTTCTCTATATAGAAAGTACTCAACAATTACTACCATTTGTCTTTTTCTCTACTGTTTCAAAATAGCATTGGTCACTCCTAACCTCTCATCATAGTCCAGTTTTAATTTTTCATGTCTGAAAGCACAGCTGTGAAAGTCTGCTGTCTGAAATTCTCAGGACTAGCAATAGGACTAGCAATAGCAATAGTACTTAGACTTATATACCGCTTCACAGTGCTTTACAACCCTCTCTAAGCGGTTTACAGAGTCAGCATATTGCCCCCAACAATCTGGGTCCTCATTTTACTGACCTCAGAAGGATGGAAGACTGAGTCAACCTTGAGCCGGTGAGACTCGAACTGCCGGCAGCTGGCAGTCAGCAGAATTAGCCTGCAGTACTGTATTCTAACCACTGTGCCACCATGGCTATATACTTTATTATTAGTATTATGTTAAATTACCCATGATCTGAGTGTAATGGTTAGCCCTAGAATGGAATGGGACAACTCACCTCAGCCAACTCGCCACGGCCAATTCGCCACGGCCAACTCACCATGGGCAACTTTCCACAGGACAACTCACTATGGGACAATTCAACAATTCAAATTAATTATATAAAATTATTTTAAAAATTTATTTTAATTTTTGTCATTCACCTTTGATTTTGTCCCTCCTTTGGCATCCTTTTTTTAATGATTCTGTTTGACTATTTCTTTGATAGTAGTGTAACTCTGGTCCTGTGGTGAGTTGTTCCACTGCAAGTTGGCCATGGTGAGTTGTCCTGCGGCGAGTTGACTGTGGCGAATTGGCCGTGGTGAGTTGTCATAGACCAGGGGTAGGCAACCTTGGCTCTTTTATGACTCGTGGACTTCAACTCCCAGAATTCCTGAGCCAGCATGGGAGTTGAAGTCCACGAGTCATAAAAGAGCCAAGGTTGCCTACCCCTGTCATAGACATGACTCAAGAATGACTTATAGAATGACTCAAGCATACAGAAAGAGGCAAGGAAAGCAAATGTTAAGAATGGTTGTTTTATTTACATTGGTCTTTGGGTATCCAACACAAAACAATTTGTCAACAGCAAACAAACCTTGTAATTATAGTTTTCAAAATGAATGTCTGGAAAAAAATATGGGCAGGGTTAGACATGGGCTAATATAAAAGAATTGAAAAGGAAAATAATCGTGTACAAATTATATGTGGAGAAGTTATCTTCTTTAACTGAGAATATATGAATGCTAAATTAAAACCTTAGAAAGAAAAGAGTCATCAGTTTCTTGCAAAGTCCAGCTTATTTTTTTTTCACATGCAGGAACCAAAAGAGTAGAATGTATGGATGTCAATCGGCATAGCCGTCGAAAGATCCTTGAAGGAATTCAATATCCTTTTAGTGTTACAAGCTATGGGAAGAATTTATTTTACACTGACTGGAGAAGGTATGATTACCTGTTTTTGTTTGTTGTGTATTGTTTACAAAAAAGCTGTTGCTTTACTCATAGTCTCCACTCCCCCACAAATACAGGTAGTTCTCAAGGTACGAGCTTAATGGAGCCTGGCCATTAGGCTCGTGAGTCAAAAAACTCGTCAAATGAATCAGACTTAATTTTACATATTTTTAAAATCAAATTCATTAATTAAGTCAAATGAGTTGTTAAATGAACAAAGATCTGACTTAGTATTACTTGCAATAGCTGCCATGTTAACTGAACTGGGGGTGTTTCCCGCCAACTGCCGATCAGCTGTTTCCAGTGAGCTGGCTCAGGAACTAAATTGTCTCCAAGCAGGGCTTGCAGCCATGAGTTATTTAAAAAAAAAAAAAAAAACTGCTGCTAGCCAGCTCAAGCGTTTTCACATGGCTACAGAGGCCTCTTTTTGGTCGCAATTTTGAATTTCTAATATAAGTACCGGTACCCTTTCTGAATTAATTCGTTTTTGTGAAAACTTGCTAAATAAAGGTTCGTACCTGGGGGATTACCTGTATTCTTTAGGCAAGTCTGTATACTAAAAAAAACTCCTGCATCCCCTACAGGCAGGTAACTGAACTGATTTTCTGAGGTGTCAGTGCGTGTGGGGTGTATATGGGGGTGTTTGTGTGACACTAAAAAGTTTTGGTTTATTTAGGTCTATTTTTTTCTCTCTCTCTTTCTTTCTCCATTATCTTATTTACGTTATTGTTTTGTGTGCCATAGAGATGCTGTGGTAGCAGTGGATCGCACAATCTCTAAAGAGAATGATAACTTTCAACCCTATAAGCGCACTCGTCTTTATGGAATAACGACTGCCTTGGCCCAATGTCCAGCAGGTAATGGTGTGAGGTTTTTTTTAAAAGTTTATAACAAACCATAGAGGCTGAAATACGAAAGGAGATATACCACGGATTTCAGAAAATTTTCTAAAGAAATTCCACTACCAATAAAAATCAGCCTAATTCCTAATAGTACAAATTTAATTAACTTATTGCATTTCTTTCTTTCGATTGCTTTAGAAGAGCTAAAACAAACAGAAAATAGTAGATTTTCCTGCTTGGTAATATATTTTTAGTAGAGTATATCTTTGTAAATTTAGTCAGTTTTTCTGACTGATCAGTGCCATCAAGAATTTAGCGCTATCAAGAATAAAAAGCTTTTGGCATGCTTTCTGCTGAAATTAGAAATAAAGAACGATCTTAAATTATTCCTTGCTTATCCTATTTCTTACCTTGTTTGTGCAATTGTTAAACAAGCAGAAGAGCTAAAACAGAAGGTAGATTGAATGAAGTCAATTATTATAGAAACAAACACAAAGCTCTTGCTTAACATTTTGGAAACTTGAGTATTGGTTATAGCAATTTTATACAAATTTGCCAAATTTGTAAATTGTAAAAAAGATGCTGAGACTCTAGAAAGAGTACAGAGAAGAGCAACAAAGATGATTAGGGGACTGGAGGCTAAAACATATAAGGAACGGTTGCTGGAATTGGGTATGTCTAGTTTAACGAAGAGAAGGACGAGGGGGGATATGATAGCAGTATTCCAATATCTCAGGGGCTGCCACAAAGAAGAGGGAATCAAGCTATTCTCCAAAGCGCCTGAAGGCAGGACAAGAAGCAATGGATGGAAACTAATCCTAGGAGAGAAGCAACCTAGAACTAAGGAGAAACTTCCTGACAGTTAGAACAATTAACCAATGAAACAACCTGCCTCCAGAAGCAGTGAATGCTCCAACACTGGAAGTTTTTAAGAAGAGATTGGACAGCCATTTGTCCGAAATGGTGTAGGGTTTCCTGCCTGAGCAGGGGATTGGACTCGATGACCTCCAAGGCCCCTTCCAACTTTATTATTATTATTATTATTATTATTATTATTATTATTATTATTATTATTATTATTATTATTATTAAAAGTTAATAGAATTTTTGGCAAGTATTATTCAAGGATACTGAGAAGAATTCTAGGAAAAGAACTGCACAAGTTATTTTTAACTTTCCCTGTGATAGACAAAATACACAAGAATGTCCAGTCTATTATTATTATAGTTTGTCATATAGTCAGTGAGATATTTAGGCTGGATTCTCTGAAAGAACCAATGTCCCCACTTTTGTATTGCAAAAGGAGGACATAACTGAAGGAATGAATGATTCATCCTAGGGTATATCATGGCTTATGTCTCCAGGCTGGTCTAATGTTTGTTTTACCTAAAAATGTTTTGAGGGCAGAGGTTCGTTCTCTGAGCTTTTGGGTTGGTTTCTGAACATTTCACTACCAGGCTGGGTAACATCTTCAGCAGAGTTTAGGGGATGTCAGTGTCAAGAAGCAACGGGTGGAAACTAATCAAGGAGAGAAGCAACCTAGAACTAAGGAGAAACTTCCTGAGAATTAGAACAATTAACCAGTGGAACAACCTGCCTCCAGAAGTGGTGAATGCTCCAACACTGGAAGTTTTTAAGAAGAGACTGGACAGCCCTTTTTCTGAAATAGTATAGGGCTTCCTGCCTGAGCAGGGGGTTGGACTAGATGACCTCCAAGGTCCCTTCCAACTTTACTACTACTACTACTACTACTACTACTACTACTACTACTACTACTACTACTATTATTATTATTATTATTATTATTATTATTATCAATGTTCCTCTGTTTATAAGGGCTTCATGTGGTCAATAGGCCACTGAAGATATTACCTAGCCTGGTAATGAAACGTTCGGAAACCAACCCACAAGCTTGGAGAACGAACCTCCACCCTCATCCTACACCTGAGCTACAGATATTTGCCACCATTGTAAAAAGGTTTTATTTAATACATAAAGCACTTGGATTCATTAAGCTGGCATGTGTTATTTTGCAGGACATAACTACTGTTCCGTGAATAATGGAGGCTGTACCCATCTATGTCTGGCTACCCCAGGAGGCCGTTCTTGCCGATGCCCAGATAACATCATTGGAGTGGATTGTATAGAAAGGAACTGATAACTGTAGCTCCCACCTTGGGGAACTGCACTGCCACTAAGTAAGCAGCCAGTTTCCTTAAGATAATGGAAAGATCCTTAAGATAATTACTGCTGTTTCCCCTGGAGCTGGAAGCACACTGCAATCGGATATTGGCACTTCTTTGCAGCCATTTGTTATGCATTTCTTTTTTTAAAAGAAACAAAAGAACACAAAATGTAACAACTATCTGTAACTGTGCCAATTAAATAAAAACTCCTAAATCATGTATTGTATGAATTATGGTAACAAGCTGTTACAAAGAGCAAGAGAATCAAATATTAAACATCCATGTTTATTTAGTATGCAATCATATTTTGGCAATTCATGTATAACTTATAATTAGTACAACAGAATGCCGGGCAGTAAAACACCAAGCAGGAATTTAATGAAATGACTTGAAGCCCAAAATGTAGGAGTTTATTTGTAATGATAATCAGCTACCTAAGCCAAAGAGAATCTCATTTTTTTATGCCAAATATCTTAAGTACAATCACTTTTCCACAAAACCCTTGAGAATATAAATAATATTAGATGCTCTATTAAGAAGAATGAAAGATAACATTTTTTTTCTAGTAGAAGTAGTCCTCGCTTAGCAACTGTCGTGGATAGCTATTATTCATAAATATGATGGTAATAAATGGTAATTAAAAATCATTTTCCAACCAATGCACGCATTTATGACCAAAAGAAACCCTCTTTAGTTTAGAAACTGATTAAAGTCTGGTCAGTTTCAGACAGCAACTGCCAGCATTGGAGGGGAAGAGCTTGTTAACTTGGGGGTTAGCACTTTTTAGGCAAGTGCTGGGCTGTGGATAAAAGTAACTCAGTAATAGCTTGTTTAAGCAATCTCTCTGCAAGAGGGGGGAAAAAGGAAAAAATCAGGCATAGGGCACTGTATGAGACACCTTTTCTGAAGGAGAAGGCAGCAACGAGTGATCTTTGCAGTGTCTCTTCTTTCTGTCATACATCCACTTAGTGTCCATTTCACTTAACAACTGATTCGTTGGAACCAATAGCTGTCTCTGAATGAGGACTACTAGTAGTTTCTTTGTGTCCAATTTAGATGTGCTTTTTAATTACATATGGCAAGACCAATTGCTATTGTGAAACAACCCACTAGGTAGATGGATTGTTTTCTTTAGTCATTGTGTTTATTCTACGATTTCCTTGATATTAAGAAAAAAAGGAGTAGAGTTTCTGTGCCACTTCCTAGCATTCAAATTAACAAAGTAGAGTCTTATAACCCACAATGTCTCGGGTTAATAAAAATGTTTCCAAATGGTTTAGGAAGATTTGCTTCTGTGGTAAAGTATATGTACAGCCCAACAAGCAAATCAAATTTGTCAAGATAGCTGTTCTAAAAGGCAGCAATTTATTTTTTTAAGAAAATAAAATGTGCATCAGAAATAATAGCTCACCAGACTTCCATGTAAGGAAAGCAGAGCCAATATTAAGTCTCTGATTACATTTTCATGTTATATTTATCATTGAAATATAAAATACAGTATTAAATGTTTAAATTTGATATAACTTTTGTATAACTTTAATACATTTAATTTTTTTTATTCTGTTAGAAATATCTGAAACTGTAAATCAAAAAAAAAAACTGCTGAAACAAACAAAAGGTGCTTTTTAAAAATAGTAACCAGTGTTATTTCAAGTTCAGGTGACAAAGAAAGTTTACACTGTAATGAAATAATTTTTACACTGCCAATAAAATAATATTTTGTAAAAAATATTGCCTTTGGAGTATAATACTGTGTCTAAATATTTTTTTTCTGAGAAAGATTTAGATTATTTTTTTAACTCACCTATTACTTTTGTTTCCATATAGTTGAGATCTCTGTCTCTGTTCTTAAATTTCTGCCAATCCAATTTACAGACAGAAAGTTTTTTCAACCAGAGATTTATACACTACACGTAGTCCTCGACTTTTAGCAGCTCACTTAGTGACTATTCAAAGTTACAACAGCACTGAAAAAAGTGACTTATGAACATTTTTCACACTTACAACTCTTGCAGTATCCCCGTGGTCACGTGATCAAAATTCAGACACTTGGCAATTAACTCATATTTATGACCGTTGCGGTATCCCAAGGGCACTTGATCAGATTTTGTGACCTTCTGGTATGCAAGTCAATGGGGAAGCCAAATTCATTTAACAACTGTGTCACTAATTTAACCACTACAGCAATTCACTAAACAATTGTGGCCAAGAAAGGTCGTAAAATCTCACTTAGCAACAGAAATTTTGGGCTCAATTGTGCCTTTAAGGCCTTGCAAAAGGCCAGCAGAGTTGGGTTAAATTTAATATTAGATTAGATAACCTTTATTGTCATTTTTTACTGTGGGCACAACGGCACACATTAAAAATGAAATTTAGTTGCTTGTTCTCACAGTGTACACATACATAACACACATTTAAACATGCTATACACAACATTATAAACCTACATCCTTACATATAAATAACATATAAATATTAATCAACTGTCCATCTTGAATACCTAGCAGAAAGAGGAAGCTTTAGAGTTCACAAGGTTAATACTGTATGGAGCAAAACTGTGACTGAATCTGGATGTTCTGCTTCGGATACCACAAAGCCTCCTCCCAGAAGGTAACAAGGAAAGCAGGTCGTGAAGAGGATGTGTAGCGTCCCAGACAATCTTGTGGACCTTGCTCAAGCAACACTTATAAGCTATGTCCTGGATGGAAGGGAGGGAACTGCCAATGATCTTTTCAGCCATCCTCACCACTCTCTGTACCACCTTTCTGTCTGAAGCAGTGATGCTTCTAAACCAGACTGTGATGCTGTATGACAGGATGCTGTCGATCGTCCCTCTGTAGAAAGTGGTCAGGACAGGGGAAGGAAGATGTGCTTTTCTCATGCGATGCAGAAAATGCAGGCGCTGCTATGCCCGCTTCACCAGTGTCTCACTGTCGAGCGACCAAGCGAACATCAGGTAGATAATGTTCCAAAGGGCAGGCAGGATGACAGAAAACGCTCTCTTCCTTGGGTCTTGCTAGATGGATGGAAACTGGAGCATTCCCCTCCTACTCGACTTGATGGGATGGGCAAGTGGAACTGAGGAGAGGCGATAAATCAAACAACCTGGTCATGCAATGAAGGGCTTTTAGAGTTACAACCAAGATCTTGACCTGCATGCAGAAGCAAACAGGCAACCAAAGCTGTTCACGGACCCAGAGGTGTAATGTGCACATCCAGGAGTGCACATAACTGCTACATTCTGTAGCATCTGTAGCTTCTGTGTTCGAGGGCAGCCCCATGTAAGGCACATTGCAGTAATCCATGTAAAGCCTGCCTGCTTGTCTCCCATGTTTTTAAGACTTGCTCTTCTAGCTATTAGCTTAGATAAGAGGATTGCTGCTGTTGCATATTCTTTTCTGCACTTAATTTTCCATTTTACTTTTGTTCTAACTCACTCACATCTCATTTATAAACAAATATTTATACACACACCCAGCCTGCATCTGTTTTGCAGAGAAGGCATTTCTCACTTTTCTTTTTATTTTGTTCCTATTGTGTATCGTTCTTCACTGATACTAGCATTTTCAAAAGCTAGTATCAGTGCAGCCTTTTATTTGCTAAGGCTTCATCACATCTACCAGTAGAGGGCACTGTAGTTCTAGAAATTAAGACATCCTCTGTTTTTCTATCCATTTTTTCTATAATTACTCTTCTTATATAAATAATGTTTTAATTTGTCTCACACTGGCCCCTTTCTCATTTTTATCCTTTCTGTTGCTATTCATAGATTTCCAGAGGATTATAAGAGAATGACAAAATAACTGCTTTGGCCAAAAAAAGAGAAGAAAGAAAAATAGTCAAGAGGACAAAAGAGATTGGCTAATTTTTATAACTAACAACACATGTAAATTATATTCACATGATGTACATGATCTCCCAATCATTGCTAGTAACCAACAACTTATCTTGTATACAGCCCATGATCCAGATGGTTGCCATTTTTAGACATCCCAGCTCCTGCAAGGGCAGATAAGTAGCTGCAAAATACATAAAATGGCAATCTATTACACTGTAGCAGCAACTTGGCGATTTGTAGGCCTGCACGGTCTGCTGCCCAGATCCCCCACTGTGGATGGCACCTTCAAGGCTCTGCTTCTCCCGGTTCATAACTCTTTCTCTTTAAAACAGGCTTGGTCTGGAAAGGCTTTTCAACAGTGGACATCTATTGGCACTGTAAGAAACAAGAAACAGAAATAGGATATCCAGAAAGAGAAAGTACAATTTCTGGAAGAGTTGCCAGTCAGAAGTTCTTTTCTGAGGCACTGATTCTAGAAACATCCAATGATGCCAAGCCTTGACATCAAGATAATGACTTCCCTTGAATCTGTATCCTCCCTCCACATTTCAATAATAAGACATTTACCGTGCAACTAAAACGAGTCATTTTCAGCACAGTTCAGTGCATCCCTATTCCAAAGAATTGAGTGTGATAAGACTTACTCTCAGAGAAACACTACAAGTAGTCCTCATTTACTGACCCAAACTGGGACTGGCAACTTAGTCATGAAACAAAATGGTCACTAAATGAAACCACCATTGCGCTTATGATCTTAGTATAGTTTTCCTTTGTTTTACAGACCTGCGAAGATTGTGAATGTGGCACTCATCACAATGCTGCTTTTTCATCATTATTGTAACTATCAATAGTCACTATATGAGGCAGTGGCTAAACAGTGGCTACCTCTAACCTTAATCATTCACAGTAGGAACGAGATTGTAAAATGGCTGTAATGCAAAAGCAATCCCTGTTGGTTTCCTAGCTATTAATACTGGAGAGGTGAGATTGTAGAACCATTTGTCTGAAATGGTAGATAGGGTTTCTTGAGTGTTGGTTGGACTAGAAGACCTCCAAGGTCCCTTCCAACTCTGTTATTTTGTTATTCTATCTTATTTCTTTAAACTGCCAACGGAGCCAATTCTAACATTTGTCTTACGTAATTATTACGCGGCCAAGTTTTAAAAAAGTGAAGTATTAAATGAATGAAAAAAGATGAATCCCTCCACAAGATGAAACTGAACTAAATATGCCACCTTTAAAAAAAGAAAAGATTATCAATATTGTGCCAGCCCATCTGTTATATTGCCTTGCTTTGCTGAGAGATCACATCCCCGTATGTGTCATTGCAAAGGAAAGCCAAGAAGATCCTTTGCAAAATAGAGTTATAATATGTAGAGTATGAAATACGCACAAAAATAAAACAGCATATAGTGCAACATGAAACCAATTGAAAAAGCAAAACAAAACAAATGTTTGCTGTCTTCAGATTCCTTTGCCAATCTGCATATTATACAGGAAAGAAGCAAAATATAGAAATAATTTATTGTTAAGGTTGCTGCCAAATACCGCAGTATTCTCTCTGGAACTCAGTTCTATCTAAGAGATCTAGGATTGCAATGTAAAATTCTTTCACTGTACTCACAGCAACCCAAATGAGATGAACCTTAGAGGCATAAGGTGTAATGCAGAATTAAATCCCAGGTTTCATTTCTTGCCTTCCTCTTTCTCAGAGAACTAGTAGCCACCATTTCCTCAGGTATTTTCCTCTTTCAGTTAACACAAATGTGACAGTTGTCAGCAAAGCCACAAAGTAGCTGCATCCTTTCCTAGTAGGTGTACAGGTAGCCAAATAATCCTAGGAGAAGATTAAGCTTTTAAATTACCGTAATTTAATGTTTGAAGCCTGATTCTGAAGCACTGCCCAGTCCTCTAGTCTAGTACATTTTCCGTAAATAGCATTATCCACGCAATTTCAAGATGTAACACATTGTTAACTATTATCTTGGAGATAAATCTAGGTAACCCTTTATTGGCACACCTGAGATGTTCCACCTTGATGTTGTTTTATAAGGCTGCATAAGTTATGAGCTAAATGACGTTCACTCAGTGGGTACCACTGGAATTATTTTACATCTGCATGAAAGCATGCCTGTGTGATATCCAGGATTCTGAGGTATTTCTGACCTTATGAAGATCCTTATGACTGAAGAGCTGGTTCACCAACTATTTATTGATTGAGATATATAATTTATATGCTATGTTCTTGTGAGTTGAGCCTTTTAACTTTTAACATACAGGTTTGCACAAGAAAAATACTCTGCTCTTTCTGTCCTTTTGGTGTGTGAAAGAACGGGTGAGAACATAAAACAGCTCATCTCTCTGGTGCAACATTAAACTTCATATGGAATTTCCAGTTTTTCAGGAAATATTGTAAGAATAAAGATCATTGCTTATACTCTTTAGCTTAAACAATTTATTTTCTTTCAATCACTTGTAGAAAATCCTGCTTCTAAAACACCCAAAAGAAAGTACTTCCTTGTGAGTAAGGTGTGTTTTGGAAAAGGCTGACATGAAGAAATAAACACTATTCCATCACAATAAAGCAGACCATTGTCAAGAGATAACAGAGCCAAACCCATTTTTCTGTGATCAAATAAAGGGCTTAAAGTCAAAGGGCTTGGCTTGGCAAGCTCTGGCATGCCGTAGCATAGCAATAGACAGAAATAGGATCCATTTTAGGATGGGATTTCACAAGTTTTAATGGGGAAATTGCTGCCTTAAATTTCAGCAAGGCCTAAGACATCCATATTGTGTTCTACCCAATTAGAATTTCTATAGCCAAGATGCAAAAATCTGTGTGGCCACTATATACCGA